TTTTAAGTTTTACTCCCTATGCCCTAATCCCTAACTCCAGTGTGTGAGAAATTCATGTTACGCCAAGCATTTGCGTCATAGTGGCAACATTGTGGCAACAATCTTCAGTGCATGCATGGCTTGATTTAAATTGTCCCAAGTTTTGGAGAAGTGGAGAGTTTTCACTAATTTCAGGATATAGGAAGTTGTCACTTGTCAGGGTTTTTGGTGCACTAACTGCAGGGGCCATTCAGTGGTGAAAGCATATGGAGTGAATGTGTTGAGGAATTGTGTTGGAAGCTAATATCAAGCAAACTACCTTCCAAGCATTTTGGGCAAAACTTATCTGTGAAATTGGGTGCAGTTGAGCCTGGTTTATGTTTTGTGCATGTATGCATCAACAGGCAGGTGTCATATGGGCAACTAGAGCAGCAGGTGATTGTTTTCCAGACTGGCTATAACCCAATCTGGAAAGAAAATGGCAAGAATTCTGGTGAGATATTTTGACCTGCCTGAAATCTACCCAAATGGCCTTTTGAGCAGAGAGAAGACAAATTTGGGGTAGCTTCTGCCCAATGAAACTGGCTTATGCCCAAGGCATGATACTGATTTAGGGCACTGATATCAATAGTTAGTAGTCAGTCAGCCAAGTTCTGATCAAAGGAATCTGCCTCCAAGCTTTAAAAAGCTGCCCCAAATTTCAAATTTGCCCAACCCTGTCTTAATGAGAGCTCTGATATTTGTTACTTATTGCAGACACCTGCATCTTGCATTGGTGGTTACTGTCATTACTAGTCAGCTGATACACATATTAAAAAGAGTTGATATAGCATAATTATCTTTGACATTGACACTTCCCATTAGTACCATTACTACTGGGTAGGTGTGCAAGTTAAACCTTATAGTTGCATGGCACTGTGATGGGACTTATTCTTACCCCCTAATTTCACACCCAGTATCATGAATTTGCTGGTTGATTATTGGAACTAGTCTCAGCATGTGCCATTGTCATATGGAGTGTGACATTGTTTATGCATCCTCTAATGATTTTATAGTGGAAGTGTCAGCTTAGGTTGTAGTGACTCATGACTTACATATTTATGTTTATTTCATTTGAAATCCTCTGATATTGTAGATTGTGTCATAAACATGGGAAGTCCTACCATATTTAATATTACAGTACTGCAGTATTTCTTACAGTATCTTAATAATAAACTTACAGTATTATTATAAGTGCTTTACAGTACCTCATCCATAATTTGGGTGGAGATCAAAGCTGCAAATTTTTGCATCTGAGTGTCACTTTGTGTATCCAAGCACTGTTTTTTAATGACCTGTTATCTTTACAGAGTGCTGAAGAAGCTGATGTTGCAGACAGCTGGGAAGAGGCTGCAGATTCTGGAGTAGGTCCCTCCAATTCCCTCTCTTGTTTTGTAGGTTATTGTCTTGCGGTGATAACTCATACAGCAAGATATTCAGATATATATATATATATATATATATATATATATATATATATATATATCTATATCTATATATATATATATCTATATCTCTATCTGTGTGTGCGTGCGTGCGTGCGTGCGTGCGTGCGTGCGTGCGTGCGTGCGTGCGTGCGTGCGTGCGTGCGTGCGTGCATGTTACTGAAGCAATAATTTCAATTGCCATATTTTGTAAAGTGAAACTAAACCAATATGTATGCCAATACAACAGTATTGCACCATCACACCTGAAATGGAAATGTGATGTTAATTGCCTGGTTGTAGTGTGCTCACTGTCTTTATTTTCAAGTAGGTAGTTTTAATGCAACATTAGTGTGTGGCAAGAGTAGAGCATGTTCAGAATGTATGTCAAAAGCTTCAGGGTGGTTGTGTGGTGCTGAAATGCAGCAGGAACCATGCGGTGGTGTTGTATAATTAGTGCACAACATTTATGTGATTGGTACCATCTACCAATAGTGTGGAAAACATTGTAGATGTTTGTCAGTTTATGATATTTGAAAGATATCAGAAATTGAGGATATTTGTAGCAATATCTATGGTGTAATGATTTGTTGGGATACAAATTTGTTTGTTAAAAATCAGGGTTTTCTATTAGTTCCTGGAAAATAGGTGATAGAGCTATTTTGGCTTACATCTACTGCTGAATGACAGATCAACACAAACTCAGAATCCATAGGATAAAATTAGGTGTGTAGCCTTATTGGTGGATGATTGAATGAAGCAGGTAGCAGGCATATTATATATGCCAAATTAACTGCTCCCTGTAGTGTGTAAATCCGTGATATCACATTAAGGCGTTCTGTGGTATGTGATAAATAGTGACTTCCTGAGCAGACATTTTTCTCTGAATTGGAAAACGCTGACAACATTGCCTCTTAGGTATTATTTCAGATTGCCCATATATTTATGTTGGTCCAGGGTTGGTGGTCTTCACGCTATAACAAGACTGTGTTGGGTTGTCCATGTCATGAAAGGTAGGGCTGGCAAGCCATGTGGCTGCATTCATTTTTGTTCTCATGTTGTCATTTTCATTGTTGTCATTTGTTGCATATGATGAAAGCTTTTTCCATCAAGCTAGTGATTAGTTTGGTAATTTGCTTGGGTTCCATTTGGTATCATAGTAAATGATGTGTGGTGATGATCCTGCCTTGTTGTTTGTGTGTTTTTTTTCATTTCTTGTTCTTATGTGCTACTCTGTAAATAGCATTGTGGCTGACCTCTTTGTCCCACAAAGCCTCCTTTTTTGAGGATGCAGAAAAGCTCACATCAACTACATTGTGATTTATGATATGCTGGCTGCTTACAACCCATCATTGGCAGGAATCTGTGTCATACACATGCACATTTGCACTCATTTCAAGCCTGTGCGAACTCATCTGAGCATGAAGACGTCGATAGAGCTGCAATTTGTTTTCTGAGAATAGAAAACTACACATGTTGGTTTGGATTATCCACATTTGGCCAGCCAGACTGTGTATGGTGATGTGTTGCTGGGCATGTCTCCCCTCATCTGTTTAGAGGGCTGATTTTCTGAAGAGGCAACGCCTCCACGTCCGCAGGACCTGACCCAACTCCCAAGCACCGTGCAGGAGGATCAAGAGCTGTAGCAAAGCCACGGGCTCAGGGGACTCACCCAGACGCCAGCACGCAGGACCGCCGCGGCTGATCGGGACAGCTTCGGATCCCATCACGCGAGGTCGCCAGGGTTGGCTGGGCGGGGCCAGACGCCAGGACTGAGGGTCACTGAGGCCAAGGGAGCCCGGGCTGTAGCTAGGTCGTGTAGTCGGACGGCCATGTCTAAGCGCAAGGGCGTGAGCGCCGAGGAGAAGCGGACCCGGATGCTGGACCTGCTGTACGAGAAGCAGGACTTCTTCCAGCTGAAGGAGCTGGAGCGGCTCGGTCCGAAGGAGAAGGGCGTCGTGTCGCAGTCGGTGAAGGAGGTGATCCAGGGCCTGGTGGACGATGGTCTTGTCGACACGGACAAGATCGGCACATCCGTCTACTTTTGGGCGTTTCCCAGCAAGGGCGCTGGCGTGCGCCAGCATAAGCTGGCCGGGCTGGAAGAGCAGCTGGCGCAGCTGCGGCAGAAGCGGCACACCGTTGAGGCCCAACTGGCGGAGGCGGCCGTGGGCAGGGAGGAGGACGACGAGCGTGGCCAGCTGCTGAAGGATCTGGCCGGCCGCCGCCAGGAGCGAGCACGGCTCGACGCCGAGATTGCCAAGTACAAGGACTGCGACCCCGAGGCGCTGGAGGCCATGCGGCAGCAGTCGCGCATCGCTATCGAGGCGGCTAACCGCTGGACCGACAACATCTTCAACATCAAGTCCTGGTGCAAGCGCAAGTTCAGCATGGAGGAGGCAACGATCGATAAGCAATTTGGGATTCCGGACAGTTTCGACTACTTGGAGTAGTGCGCCAGGACAAGCGCGGAGTCATTGTCGAGCGCGAACTTCGCGTTGGCGTGCATTCGAGGCGAGGGTCTCACTTCAACGTTCAGTGATAGAAAGGACTGAACTGTTAGGCTAGTTGTAATGTACATATTTGTTCACAGGCAATAAACCATTCCTTTTGCATTGTCATTTCGTATTCGTGCCGAAGAATTCGATGCAGTATGATCGTATGGCTTGGAAAAAGGAAATAACTGAAACGTTGTATTAATCAAACTCATTTTGAAACAAGCCGGCGGTGCCGCGGCCACCTTTGACGCATGGCGGGTCTGTGGGAATTGTCGCTTTCCGTTTAAACGCCTCAAGCAGTGGAACCGTCACCCATATACAGCAAACTACAGTGACGCTAAGGTTACAGCCAGCGGCGCATCCGTGGTTCCGTGGTGATTCCACCAATGAACGGGGCGCGTGATATTCAAAGCTGCTCGAACGGCACCAGAACGGCACCGTCTTCGGCTCCACGGCTCCGCGATCGCACGAAGGAGGTAGTGACCACCTGGGCGCCTTGGTCACACCACAATTCGCAAGGAGCACGCAAAGTCATGCCGTTGATTTCTGGTGCGCATTCGATGGGTGCAGAAGTGGTAAAACCGGCAAGATGGCCGCGAACGAATAACCAGGGCCAAACGTTTCCCACTCCTGTTCGTTGTCGTCTGTTGTTTTGCACCGTTTGATGTGAGTTGAGCGCAGATCAACGGACAGTACTGTGCGTCTCGTCTGGCTCAGTATGACGATGGTCCTTCCAGCCCGTCGCTCAACGACTGCGTGGTCAGGCTCCACAGTACCCCGTTGGGCATGGGTGATGCCCGGGGCAGCTGCGGCCCACACTCTGCGGTCACCTCGCTGCCACGCCCGCAGGCGCCTGGCTGGCTCGTTCGCAGGCGACCTGGCCTCCCCGCCCGCGGGCGGCCGAGCCTCCCCGCCGTGTGTAACCTCGCCGTGCCGCTGCTGCAGGAGCTGGACAGGCAGCTGGAGCAGCTGCGGACGGCCCGCGAGCGCGCCGCCGCCGCCGCCGCCGCGCCGCACGAGCGCCTGCTGGTGCGCGTGCAGGCCGAGGAGGCGGGCCGCACCCAGTACGTGCCGGCCGAGCCGCAGATCACCATTCTGAAGCGGCCCGACCCGGGTCTCGGCGGCCGGCCGGCCCAGGGCGAGCGTGCTCGTCAGCCGGCCAAGTCGCTGCAGCAGGTAACGCGGAGGCGCGGCCGGGCCTCGGGCGGGCCGGGCTGTCTCAGACGGGCGGCGAGTGTCCCTGGCTGCGTCTCTGTAGCGCTAGTGAACGCTCCAAAATCCTTTCCTATAGGAGTGCTGAAGTCGCGGTTGTCTGATTGTTTTCCGGTTGAGTGGCTCATTTCGCCTGCTTATGTGCAAGAGGTCACTGCTTGGTAGCACACAGCTCATGCAGCGCACTGTGTTTGGCCGGAGCTCATTTTGACAATGTTTGGTTCATGATATTCCTTGATTGCGGGCGATGGCGCTTATAACTGGAAGCGCACATAATGTCGCCTACTGGTAGTTGCGATGATTTGAGGCTGTGCGGTACTATGTCGGGTAGAATAGCGCCCTGGTGTCGATTGCGTGCTCTGTGGCTTGCGTTGCGTCTTGCGACAGCACTGATGCAAGCAGTAAGAGAAGCTTAGTAAGATGTGAGGCCTGGCTCCGGGTCCGTGGACCTCCGCATGTCCGTATCTGGCGTACAATGGACAGCCCTGTCATGCTACGTGTATTGTCCACAGCGAGAGGCCGAATATGCTGAGGCCCGGCAGCGAATATTGGGTAGCAGTGGTCTACTGGAGAAGACGACGGGACCAGACAGGTACGACCGACATTCGGCTGCGTCGTTGGAGACGCCTGCTGTCAGCGATGAACTGTGGGGAATAGCCCAGCGTTGGTACACTGGTAGACTGTGTATCTTTTCGATTTTTGTGCCGCGTTTGGAAACAGGAAATTACGTCTCTTCTGGTCTGCCGTGGCGACGTGGAAGTAAGGCCCCTACCCCTTGACGCCACATTCTGAAACCTGAGCCGCGGCTGGCTGGCACGGCGCCGCACTCGCTAGTACCGTGCTACCTGTTATGACACGCTCATCTGGATGCCTTCTCTACAGTTTTGCGTCATGCGCTCCGCCTGTGTCCCACTCACAAAGCAAACACTGCTGGTGATTGACGCGCCAGTCGCGCCCCTCCTCTGTGTAACCGGTGCCCCCTGCCCCGGCACCTGTGGCCGCCGCTCGTCTGACCGCTCCGCCGCCGGCGCCGTCGGCAGGGCGGCGCCGCCGGTGGAGCTGCTGCGCAGCAGGGAGGCGGCAGCGGTAACCCGTCTGCCGCGTGGCCCGGACGACACGGCCGGCTTCCAGCTGCCCAGATAACGCCCACGCCGGCCAGCCGCCAGCTATTTTTGTACGGAAAGCCACGCGCCCGGCATTAGGAGGAGTCGGCAGCGGCGCCATCTCCGACGCGTGTGACCCGGAGCGGGGTGCTCTGCGCGGCACGAGCGCCGCCGGACGCCGATGACTGTGATTGTGCAGGTGATGCGGCGACGGGGGTGTGCGGTGTCGTGGTGGACGCTGGAGACACCGCGAACGGGCGTGTCTGCGCGGCCGGGTGTCCGCGCGGGCGTGCTGGAGTGAAGTGAACTGCTGAGCGTTGGAGCGGACCACGCTGTCCGGGAAGACTTATTTTTGGTCCGCGTTTGCCGACAAAGGTCTCGGATGTGATTTTCTCTGCCTGGATTTGCCGGTTGCCAAGTCCCTGGGCCACGTAACGCGCTTGGGTCCGCCTGCTCGCGCATATTCAGATGTTTGTCACATAGGTCACCGTGATGAACTTGGCGCCATATCAGTAGTGGTGTGTATTTCGGATAGGTGGCCGCGCGCAGATTGTATCAGCCGCGGTTTCAGCATCCATTAATCTATGCAGCGGAGTGGCCATTGATATGTGAGGGTCGGAATTTGATTCCTGCCGCAATTCTGCGGCTATGCGCTGTATTTTTTTTCTGGCAGGTGGCTCGATCGCCAAATAACTTCAGTCTGATAACTCGGGAATAAAGAGGCCCTGCCGCACCAACTCTCAAACATTGCCAGTGTGTCATGCAGTTGCCTAGGATTGTCGATCTGTTACAACGATTTTCTACCAGCCTGGCATCGGTGTTTTCATACGCCACTTTGTGGAGCACATGCGCTTTAGCTCGCCTGATGACAGTTCAGGAATAAACGGATATTGAGTTATTTGGTGAATGACATGTCACAGACATCGGAGAAAACCTAGCCGTGGTTGAGACAGCAGAAGTGGAGTAATGTCGCCGGTATGCCCCGCGCACTTCCCTTGCGCTGTGCTTGACTTCGGCCGCTTATAAATACGGGTTTTGATCTCCACTTTACGAGCGTTTGTTTTTTCTTCTCGCCTTGGCCATGCGTGAGGGACCCGGGGCGATAGCTAACTACCTCAGAGTGCTGAAGTAAGGGAATGTTCCACGTGTGAAGATTTTGAGGCAGGTACCAGATGTGATGGAATAAGCTGACATGTAACTTTTGAGATCCTCTGAAGTGGAAAAAACTCAACAAACTCGACTAGAAAAACTAAACTCAACTACGACTGAACTACTAAACAACTAAAGAACTAAACTAAACAACTAAAAAACCTGGACAACACAACTTTTCTGTTTAGTAAAAAGGTCTGTTAATACGCCATTGCTTGATTGCGTCGTCGCACCTTGCAGTGCTGATTGAGAGCCAGTTGACGGTTGTCATATTTGGAAAGCGTGCTCACGAGCGGCGCAAAGAGGATATGAACATTATGCGTTTCAACGCATATGAACGTCATATATGAACGACTCGACCATTATATTGTCTTGGCCTTGATCGCTGCATGACTAATGAAGTGGCAGGATTTGAATGACGCTATTAGGACCTTGGGGGACCTTGAAATAGTCTCCCCAAAATAGTCTGTACATATTCGCGGGTGATTACCTCAGAAATTAGTGCGGCTTTATGTCTTAAGAGCGGCAGGGCTGTGAACTGCGACGAACAATCTTTAAGATGGCTATTCCAATTAAAAAAACGATACAAATGTCGGAACACTCCGTTTAAAGAAAAACAGTGAATACAACCTTTGAAGTGCACTTTCTGCGGGAAATAAATGCCAATCATGTTGTAGCAAAATGCAACCTTCAGTACTTCCACAAGAAGTCAAAGAGCATGAGTCATCGATATCAGATACTTTTTATATCAGATATCAGAAATATCAGAAATAAAAGATATCAGAAAAAAGAAAAAGTTTCACTGCCGTGTTCAAAGCCGGGAAGTAGCTGTTACCAAGGCCCTATGACACCGTGATTACGGGAAAACCCTTTTGTGGCCTGGAGGCCCCTCGTAGAGTAAGGGTTAATATGAGCACCACTGCTTCTATGGCCTTGATAAGTACAATTACGCTACCGCAAGTGTGCTCACAAGTTCTCTTTTGGAATGTTTTTCTCGCTTCCATTGCCCCGTCAGCCATTGCAAAGCCGTTGCGGCCCCATCAGGGCCAAATTTGCGCACTAGCGTATCTTGATATTGCGCAGTAGCAGCCAAAATAACGGAGATTTGTTAAAGCCACATGCAGTTCATATCATAGCTGGGTACAAGATGGCTTAAACATCGTGCGGTGCCTGACAGTTCAAGCCTAGTAACTTTTGTGCTATTTTAGTACTGTCGTGTTCTTTCATGTTGCCATGGTAACGTAGGACGCCATTGCCGTCAGTTGATAATTGGGTTGTTAGGAACGGCTGGCTTGAGGATTCAGCGATATCGTGCAGGATTTTTTGCGTTGTGAGGGCGGGGAATTTCGGTATTCTAGGATACGGGATACTATTCAAAACTTTCGACTCATACACTATGCTTTAAACCTTTTACATCGAATAAAACAAGGCGTATAGCCTGAGATCCTACACTGAAAACGACCTTCCCGATACGGTAAGCTGCACTCTGGAGGTGGATGGTTGTGTATGTGCTTGAGTGCGTAGATTTGTAGTAAGCCAACCGCTGTCACGGGAATATTGTGTGGGGACAACCTACACACACAACTTTTCGGCTTGGGACTACGATTATGGATTAATGCATGCCGTTTCAGTAAGGGTGATCGAGGTGCGCCGGTCACTAAAGTTTGTCTCGTCTTAACTCTATTTGGAAACGTAATAATTTAGCCCTTTGCTATGAAATTATGCTTATTTTAACGAGTGATGACATGAAATACGTAGATAAGTGGAAACCAGCCCATTTTGTCCTAACTTTTAAACTTGCCTGGGTATTTTAGGACATTCAGGCCCAAAGTGGCTTTCGATAGCCTGGAAACGCCTGGTCCCAACCAGTAATGTCCCGTGGTAGGCACGCGACTCGTACCAGGCAGGGTTCTTGGCAAGGACCGGACTGCCGCACGCGGCCCGCATTGGCGTTTCCAACATCAAATCCCGTGGGCCCGACTCAGATGCCGTCGGTTCGTTCCCACGATACCTTCCGGTCTGTCACGGCCCAATCGCAGCTGGGCTGTGCGCTCACCCCGCTCCGGCATGGCGAGGGCCGGCGTGATCTGGTTCAGCGCCGCCACGACTGGCACCGGGCGGGAGGCGGACCCCTGTATGGCTCCGCTTGGTCTCTTGCATTGCCAGATTAGCCGGACCGCTCGTGGTCCACGCAGGTTCGCTCGTGGGCGGCGAGGGCCAGCACCAATGCGCTATACGATGCACGCCCATGTGACCCTGGCCCGGCGGTACCGCCACCATGAAGGCTCTTGAAGACGAATGGCAAATGTAGAGGCTTCTCTGCACAAACGATGTGTCATGGGTGACTAATAATCGTCCTCTGCCATCATTCGTCAAACGCGAATAGCCCGGTGATTCAACTGCACAGCCATTTCAGAGCACAAACAATGGCGCTACCATTCATCCCAGGATACTCGGAAATCGGAAAGGTGCGTAAACCATATCTCTCACTGCTTTGCTCGATATCATGTTTGTATAGCTGGGAACATAGCCGTTTGATTCTCCGAGGCTGAGTAAAGGGGAGTGTCTTGTGTTAATGTGTGAGACAGGGTGATTTATGAATTGTGCACGCCATGATATGCATACCTGCGGTCATAAAGCGTAGACACACTTGGCTTATTAATGAGCCCCTGTTTTGCGGAATTTGTGTAAATGAGACGTTGATAGTAAGATGGAATGGTATGAGTAACGATAAGATTCCTCCACATTTCCTGAATAGCTACATAGCCGGTGGTGATGCGTGTATTTTGCATCCATACAGAAGATGCATTCCCTCAAGCCCGGATACCATCTGCCTCACCGGTTTGATTTCAAGTTGGATCAGAGGTTTTACATTGATCAGGTGGGTATGGTGAGACCGTTTTCCACGGAAAGAGGAATCGGTCCCGCTTAAAATAATCAACTCAAGACGTCCACGCGCTGGTGCTTGCGTGCGTGCACCAACCCGCGCGTTTCCCTCTGCTTTAAAAGGTTTCGATAAAAACTATAATCTTGGGATCTCGGTGGCATTGAAATCGCTAGAACTACATGTGCTTTTTAACGTTGTGTGCTCACTTTGGATCAGGCGCGAGTAATGTTTTTTTCGTCACACAAAACATGCAAAAAATGTACGTCAAGGTGCATGCGTGTTTGTCATGCAAGCATTGGTTCGCAAGTTTTACGCCACACTCATGCTTTGATAACGCTATGAGTTCATGCCGTTTGGGAAGGCCCCATGTGAGTATCTTGATCTGTGTCTTGATTTCCGTATGGTTTTGACACGCTCGACAATCATTTTAAGACAGTTGTTCAATGCGTAACCACTGTTACCCGATAGTACAACAGGGTGCATCAATTCAGCAGCGGGTGTCACAGTGTCGCATTCGAGCGTGCTACATCTGACATTAAATTCCAAAGCCAGCACCGTGCGCCGTTTGACCTCGTCCCGCTTCACTCTTCTTTTCTCCCGTTCCGTCTTCCACAGCTCGCTGACCCCTCCCCAGTCTCGGCCCCTTCCGCCTTACACCACTCGCCGATCCCTCTTACCTCGTCCCGCACCGGCTGACCCCCTCCACCCCTGCTGACCTCCGCCCTTGCTGACCTCCACCTCTGTTGACCTCCGCCCCGGTGCTGCCGAAAGGAGATCGCCAGCCGGGACCTGCCGCGGCCTGGCTGGACCAAGCGCATCCCGCGTCACAGCTTCTATCCTCGCACGGCCGGGCCTGGCCTGCCCGCCTGGGTCGCCTTCGACAAACAGGTGACGCCGCGGCAAGGCCTGCGGTGGGAAGGAAGGGTCGGACTAGCCGGTGAGCCTGCCAAGCCCACGGTGACCACCGTGAGCTGGGGCTCGGTCGGTGCGGTCGACGGGGCCTACCTGCGAACTACTACGAGCTCTGAGCTGCGGCTATCGACCGGTTGGTACGGTGGGTCAGCTGGCTCATTAGTCAGTGACGCCGTCGACCAGATGTAGCACGGATGGGGAGTCATCAATAATCATAAACCGAGGATCAAAGTCATCCATTAGCAACAGAAGGGAGCGTCAAAGCGTGGGATGACCATCTTTTGGAATGTGCGACCATACACGCTTCCCCTAAACTGCACGTCGATAAGACAGGCAGGTGTGGGCGGACTCAAATGATCTGTCTGCGAATAGCCGAGATTGGCTGTTGGACGGCTTGCCGCATGCCAGTAGCCGGCGGCGCTCAGTACTGACGGCGTCGCGACCGGGCAGGTGCTGCGCTTCCGCGGCTACTACATCGACCGCGTGCAGAACTCGCAGGTCGAACGAAGCCGCGTGCGCACCGTCAAGATCCACTTCTACCTGGAGGACGACACCATCGAGGTGATCGAGTCCAAGTGGAAGAACAGCCAGCTGCCGCAGGGTGAGGGGGTCAACAGGGCGCGGACTTGAGGGTTCAGGTCGATTGGCTCAGCAGCGACGACTCAGAGCGGCGATTTCAAATACCCATTTCGGCCAACTTTGGCAAATGTGGGCACCTGGCTTGCAACACTACGACACGTGGACGAGGGCTGGATTCAGTGCAGCACCTGCCGTTGTCCCGTAGTGTTTGCGGTCGCGGCGCCCCGCGTCGTCAGAGACGAACCCTTGGCCAACGCCGTGCTGCAGGCACGCTGCTGCACCGCCACCGGGTGCCGCTGCCGGAGCCGGACGACTTCGAGTTCTACACGATCGAGCACCTGAACGTGGGCCGCGACCTGGTGCTGTACGGCACCACCTACCACGTCACCTCGTGCGACCAGTTCACGCGCAACTTCCTCGCCAAGCTGGGTGTGCGTGTCAACCCGGACACGTGCATTCCCAGCGATGCCTACATGGAGACGAGGAACGACGTGAGTTGCGGCGCGGCGTGTGTGGGGCGCGGGTGGGTTGGGGCGGAGACGACTGCCGGCCCGCTCTTCACGTTCGGGTGATGGCTTTGCCAGCTTTGGCATGTGCCAGCTGTAAGCTGCAGAGGATCCATCGCCGATTCTGCCGTCGACTGATTGCCCTTCCCTACGGCCAGGTACTTCCATAGTCGTCGCGGCATATCCGCCACTAACCAACCAACCCGTCCGACCCCGTACTATTGGCTGACTGGCCCTACCCCTACGGCCACGTTCTCACCATAGTCGTCGCGGCAATGTCCGCCACTAACCACCCGTCGACCCCGTCTATTCGGCCTGACTTGCCCGACCCTACGGCCAGGTACTCCCATAGTGGTCCGCGGCATGGTCCTCCCCACTAACCCCGTCGACCCCCGTTCACTAAATCCGGCTGACCTGCCGTCCCTACGGCCAGGTAACTCCATAGTCGTCGCGGCATGTCGCGCCACTAACCCCGTCGAAACCCCGTCCCGATTTCGGCTGACTGCCCTTCCCTGCGGCCAGGTACTCCCATATTCGTCGCGGCAATGTTCCGCTCAACATAAACCCCGTCGACCCACCGTGTCCTATTCGGCAGGGCTGGTCGCTTTCCCGCGGTCCTCCTAGCAAGCGTCATGGGCTCCACCTATGCATGGCCGAGGTTCAGTGCGGTTTCCAAACGCGTTACAGAGACAACACCTTGCCACAGCTCGTCAGTTCCAGTTGAGGCTGTCTTTCAAGCGCCACAGTTCACATACATGGTAGGAGGCGCATCTGAAGGCGGCACAGCGCTGGCACGTGCCTCAGTCGGCCATGGCGTTGTCCGAGGGCCGTGCCTGTCGTGCCTCACGCTTGCCCCTCCCCCCCCCCCCCCCGGCCTGCAGCATGAGCGCTCCATGCGACCGCTGAAGCCGTACAAGAAGGTGGACACGCTCGGTCAGTTCCTGCACTACGACGGCAAGGTGCTGCGCTTCTGGGGCTACTGGGACGACCGGGAGGTGCAGCACGGCGACCTGCGCGACATCGTGCTGCTCTACTACCTGGCCGACGACACGATCGAGGTCAAGGAGCTGGTGCCGCCCAACGCCGGCCGCTACAAGGCGCCCAGTCTGTTGCGCCGCGCCCGCCTGCCGAAGGTACGGCACTGGCTCGCTGGAGACGGAGTGGGCGAGGTGGGAGACACTCTGGAGGTGGAGTGGCAGGAGTTTGGCGAGAGCTGAGCTGTGGCCACTGGATCATGGTTGGCGTCCGGTGACTGCCTGCAAGTGGGGCGGGCAGATGTATGCATTTTGTCTGCTTTCTTTTTTGCTCCTTTATTCTCTCTCTTTCGTTTTATTTATTTTCCTTTTGTTTTGCTTTCTGTTTTTCCCACTCCTTCTGTTTCCCGATTGTTTTCTCCTTTCTCCTTGATTTCGTTACATCTTCTCCTTTCGTTTCTTGTTCTTTCCTTCTTGATTTGGTTCTGCTTTCTCTGTCTTTTCACCTGGACCGTAACGAACTATAGCTAAGCCTGACGTAGAGCAGGGTTTCGTAGCGTGCGCCCCATGTGGTTTCCGCACCGGGGTGTTGAGTTTGTCTGCACGCATCGGCACGTCACGTGAAGCCCTGTTGTAAACCCAAACTGTTCTGTCGAATGCTGTTTAACACGCGCTGGGGGGCTTGACTCCCCCCCCCCCGGAAGTTTTGCCAGAATAGCTCGCGAATGGTGCGGGGTAGCTGAACCAAACTTTGCTTAGTATGGGCAGTTGAATAGTCCATCTTTTGGTATGCAAAATCAGATATACTTTGTAAGGTTTCTGGCCAGTTGCAGGTCATAGTCAGGTCATGGTTGTTAGTGAAGGCATTTCCAAGGGAATCGTTCAATCTGATGCGACAGCGAAGTGTGAGACGAGGCCATGCACCTTTAAGATAGTTTCTCTAACAGTAAGATGAATGAATTTTGGATAGCACTTCATTCTCGTTGCGTCTGGCGTGGAGGCCAAGCTGTGATTAAAACCAAGTTGTTTCTGTGCTGCAGAACCTGTTTTATGAGGTAGTTTATGACACTCATCTTGAATTTCTTGAGGAAGGGGATGGCAAGAGACATTCCATTTGATGTTGATAAAGATGAGAGGACGTTACTAACCTAAAATGACAACGGTCAGTCTTTCGTTTTTGAAGAAAGAACGTAGGCCTAGTGTAATCCTGGACGCAAGTTGAGTTAAAAAACAAAACAAAACAATCTCGAAGGTTGTTGGCCACCGTGAACTTAGGTGGCCAACAAGGTCAAACAAACTCACTGATTAAATATGGTTGCATAAAGTCTGAGAGCGCTTTTTATCGCCACTCTTTTATCGCCACTCTCGTCACGCGTTGGCCCTGCCCTGTTCCAGCAACTGAAGGCACTGCCCCGTCCGGGAGTCGAGTGTCCGAGGACTGTGCTCAACACGTTCGGCGACATCTACGGCAAGGGCATGGGCCGCCTCTTCATCTACGACAACCTCAACAACAACTACCACCCGTCCGACTTTTATCAGTCAGTGGTCTGACTTTGCCGTCACACTATTGTGGCATCCTCTGGCTGTCATTTGGGCGTTACTCACGATCGGGAAACGACAAATCACGTCCAGGGATGACGCTGTGGTTTAGAGAATGAGGCTCTTAGTATTTGTGTTCAACGTGGTCTGTCTGTGTATGTGTGTGTGTCATAAGGAGGTCCACAGAACTCATTATGACACCACATACGCGAAATGGTGGTTAGTGTGGCTGCTGCGACTTGCAGGAACATAGTGGTCGTATTATTGATTAATATTCTCGGATGACCGCTTTCTCATGGTTCCCGCACGATTCGGAAGGCAGCGTGTCTAGACAGACCAAACCAAAACTCCAGGAGCCGACCGTGACTGGCGTCAATGTTCGGAGGTCTTGTGCGTGACCCGCGGACGCTCCATTTCCGCCCGCCCGTCCCGCAGTGACTCGGAGCTGTGCATCGGTGCCCACGTGAACGTCTGGGGCCGGGAAATGGTGCTGACCGACTGCGACCCGTTCACCCGCGACTACTACAGGATCAAGTACCAGAAAGGTAGCCGACTTGGCCGCGCCGTCCCGTGCGTCCACCTGCGCGTTAAGCATGTGATGCTGTCCATGGCCGGGTCGGACGGCCAGCCGAGTCGTGTAGGTCGGCTGCGGGCCTCCGCGTGGGCACGTCTTTACCGACGGCCGGAGGCTGGCGCACGCGTGGCTGCGTGCGTCCGCGCCGGTACCGAGACCCGTCACGCTGTTCTGAAAGTAGCCAACGCCCGTGGTGGCGTCCACAGAGCTGGGCGAGGGTCGGCCGTACCGGCCGCCGCCCAAGCCGGACCCGCCGCGCCAGGTGCCGCCCTATCTTGGCTTCGGCAGCGAGGAGGACACGCTCACCTCCGTCTTCAACCTCATACCGCAGGCGCCCAAGAAGGACTTCAACAAGTTCATGGTCAACGACAGGTCGGCACAGGGTGGGCGTTGTTGGGATGGAGGCGCCAGAACACCGCGGCCAAGCCATACTGTCCGAAGTGCGGTGGCACAGCTGAGCTCAGCTGGGCATCATTGTCCATGGAGCTTGGCTCAGGGCAGGCCCCTTGCTTTGATTTTGCTGGTCTGGTGCATGCGCTGGGTGTATGCTAAGACATCTCAAAGCCTTACCGCAGTTGAAGCACTGGAAAAACAAGATTCAAGATCTGAGTGCGCATGTTTTGCTTGCTCCTGCGATGTGTGTGTATGAGTCCAGACAAAGTGGTAGCTGTGGCGTAAGGCGCGACTTGAGCCTGCGCGCGCTCTGCTGGCAGGAACGGCCTAGACGGCCATGTGCTGCGCTTCTCGGCTCAGATGGTGACCACCAGCAAGATCGACGCCACCAGGAAGTTCATCCTGTGCTTCTTCCTCAGCGACGACACCCTCTCCATATACGAGGTGCCCATACCCAACAGCGGTGAGTTATCGGCTGGGTCGTCCGAGTGCTGCGCTCGGACCGAGTCAGGGCAGCGACTGTCCATCGCAGACTGATAGGCCGCTGAGCTCGAGCCGAGTCGGGGCAGCGACTGTCCATCACGGACTGATAGGCCGCTGAGCTCGAGCCGAGTCAGGGCAGCGACTGTCCATCACGGACTGATAGGCCGCTGTCCCGCCATCCTCGGCTTGTCGCGCCGAGCCTCTGCCACTAATGGCGTGCAGCTTTAGGTTCAAGCGTTTGACCGGAAGCCTGCCTGCGACCACTGACAGTGAGACGTGCTACCGACATACAGGCATTACTTTAGCGACGTGAGTGGCGTCGCAGCATGGCGGCGGACAGCGCTCCAGACCTGCATCCTTTTGTTCCCCGTTCTCGGTGTGCCGGTCTCCTCCAGGGCGTCGCGACAGCTGTGTACCCTGTCCGAGCCGACGTTGACTGCTGGGCGCCGCCCCGGTCAGTAACTTTTCAACGGAAAAGAAGAAATACGACATCTTGTTCCGCGACTGGCGGAGGGGTGACGCATGCGGCTTCAGAAAAAAACGGCTCACGGAGACGACATTCGCTGTGGCCTGAGCACAGCATTCGGGTGGCACGTCCATACTTGCTGTGTTTGTGATTAGAATGGGTGACGTCCCAGCGACGCCGGTCTGAAAATGGCGATTACCCCGGCGACCGAAGCCTCGCAAAATGGCGATTTCCCCGGCGACCGGAGCCTCGCAAAATCGGCGTCGTTCCGGCGTCGCAAACGCCACCAGCAAGCCATCGGTGCGTGACGTCCCAGTTCATGCAGATTAAAGGCACGTCTTTCTCCGTGACGACACACATCGCCGTCACGCGGTCTCGGCCGCACTCGGCTGACCCCGCCGCGCGGCCGTCGTGCCGGGCAGGGATCGCCGGAGGCCAGTTCCTGGAGCGGGGCCCGGTGCGGCGCGACCCGGAGTGCCGCCGCGCCTGTCCGATCCTGCCCGACTGCTACGTCTCCGAGGACCTGTTCGTCGGCGCCCAGCTCACCATTAACAAGTTCAAGTTCCGGCTAGTGGCCGCCGACGAGTACACGCTGCGCTACACAGACAAGCGGCCAGCGCAGGTGAGCAGTGCTGACACCCGAGGCATCTTCACAGACAAGCGGCCAGCGCAGGTGAGCAGTGCTGACGCCTGAGGGAGCTACACGGACAGGCGGTCAGAACAGATGAGTAGTGTGGACGCCCGGGAGAGCCACACGGACAAGCCGCTTGTCCGCGTAGCTCTCCCGGGCGTCAGCTGGCCGCTGCGGCCAGCGCAGATTAGCAGTGCTGACGCCCGGGGGAGCTACACGGACGAGCGGTCAGCGCAGGTAAGCAGTACTGACGCCCGGGGGAGCTACACGGACGAGCGGCCAGCGCAGGTAAGCAGTGCTGACACCCGAGGGAGTTACACGGACAAGCGGCCAGAGCAGGTGAGCAGCGCTGATGCCCGAAGGACGTGAGCGCTTCACGGCCAGGCGGCCAGCGCAGGGTTCGAAGGGTTCCAGTGGCTCGATTACGACTGCACAGCGACCGAAGTGAGGTTTGTGGCCGTTGGTAAAAATTGCGGACCCATTAGCGAAAGTCGTGTAAGCGGCTTATGCCCGATAGAATGTGTCGGCGAAAAGACGCTGCGACGGCCTTGGAGCGGCGGCAGCGGACCTCAGGCAGTGTGGCAGGCAGTGGCAGTGTGACGTCCGACTGGATGCTTTGGCCAGAGGTTGCGCTGCGTGCCGTCTCCAGCGAGAGTGCTCGGTAAACTGACCGTGGGTCCGCGCTGTCGCGTCGGCTGATGGCTGTGCTAGCGGCACTCAGCACTCCGCTGACCGGCGGCGGCCGCCGCCGGTGGCGATCGGCGGCAGTCAGACATCCGACCGATCTGTGGCTGGTGTGTGCAGTACGAGAAGGCGAACCCGGACCAGATCATCCGCAAGCTGCGCGAGCACATACCGAGGGACGCGCAGCGCCAGATGCACAAGGACTTCAACGGCGGCTACCGCATTCGCGACCACGTCTGCAGCTATGACGAGATGGTCTCGCTGCTCAAGAAATACGCAGGTGAGGCTTCTGCTATTGGTGAGCTCCCCTGTGGCGTCGACGGCAAGCCCTCGCACGCTCGCAGTGCCGCTCTCCAGTGTGGATAGATCAGCGGTGGTATAGACCTCGTAATTGGGACCGCTGTGAGGGTGGGTGCGGCCTCTGTGCGTACTGCATACGTCTTGGTGTTGCGAACGCCCTTTACCAAGGTGGCGTGGGGGCTTCAAATATGGCACGGCGCTGCCGCTTCCGACAACGGGAAGGTGCATGCCATGATGTGTGTGTGTGTGTGTGACAGGGGTGCCACTTTCTGAGATCGGTTGGGGGCTGAGCCAATAAAGGTCACCTGGCGTATCCCAAATCCTGGGTTTGCCCCGGAGCTCCGTCACTCGTGGTTTGCGGCGCTGATGTCATCATTGAATTCAACAGACATTGGTGAGTTCAGTGTTGTTAACGTTGTGCGGAGCGATCCCCCGTTTCAAGTCGGTATGATAGCGATGATGATGATATATGATGATAATATTAACAGCGGTGCGTTTAGGTATCTAGTGTACCACTAATTCAGGTACTAGTGTGATTCAGTTATCCAGTGGTCCCTTTTCTGCTCATGCACTTTGGGGGGGGGTCCGAGGAGCATTGGGGGAGGGGAGATCAAATCAATATTGAGGCTCAGCCTCCCCCCCCCCCCCCCCAAGGGCATGCAAAGTGACACCCCCGGTGTGCGACATTGGTCATGTTCCAGCAAGCGTGAACATTTACCACGTGCATGTCTGGCGTAATGTCAGAACGCTGTTGTGACGCGTGTGCCGTGCCCCGCGGCTCCCCAGGTGACGTACTCTCTGAGCATGAGCTGATCACACTGGGACGGCACTTCTGCGCCGATGAGAGCAAGACCGAGTACGCCTCCACCGAGGAGCTGGTGGGATACGTGCAGAAGCTGCTCAAGCAACACAAGCTGGGAGGTCAGCTGGCGGCGCGCGCACGCCGCGTCGCCCCGCCCTGACGCTGGTGATCCGTGTGACGCCAGCGGCGGCACCGCCACGCTGTCCCTGCCCCCCCCCCCCCCCCCCTCCCGCTCCCGAAAAGCGTGTGTCGCATTTGGCGAAACCGAGATATTCATATCTACCGATCCTGAACAAATTTGTGTCTTGTGGGGTTCCTCATGCCAAGGGACATGAGTGATACCCGCGCACAGGAAAGAGGGTTCTAGGTGGCCAGGTTCCATTTATCCAAGGGAGAATTCATCAAAACTCCAGAGACGCGATTAATGGAAAGCCGGCTGAACTGAAAGAAAATTCAATAAGCCCGACTGGCCGCTTACGTACGCATACCTCGTTTGAGTCCTGGATTGAAGAGCGAAAAATGCACGTTGAGATGCGTTTCGTGTCGCACGTAGCATCGCAAATCAACTGCAGCTAGAGCCGCAAATAATTGCACTGATCACACAAGCTTTTGTGATCCGATTGCTTCAACGCGGCGCGATAACGAATAACATGCACTTGAACTTAATGTCATGGGCTACAAGCAGTGCATTCAGCTGTAATGTGTGGTACAGCATCGTGGCAAAACAAACAGCATAACGGAGCTGGCGTTGTTGCCACGCAGCCTGCACGCGTGCCTTCTGCCATACCTTCGGCTGCAGTACGACGCAGCCTCCACGCGCGCCTTTTGCCATACCTTCGGCTGCAGTACGACGCAGCCTGCTTGCGCGCCTTCTGCGGTAGACTCGGCTGCAGTACGACGCAGCCTGCACGCGCGCCTTCTGCCATACCTTCGACTGCAGTGCGACGCAGCCTGCTTGCGCGCCTTCTGCGGTAGACTCGGCTGCTGTGCGACGCAGCCTGCACGCGTGCCTCCTGCCATACCTTCGACTGCAGTGCGACGCAGCCTGCACGCGCGCCTTCTGCGGTAGACTCGGCTGCTGTGCGACGCAGCCTGTACGCGCGCCTCCTGCCATACCTTCGACTGCAGTGCGACGCAGCCTGCACGCGCGCCTTCTGCGGTAGACTCGGCTGCTGTGCGACGCAGCCTGTACGCGCGCCTGCTGCCATACCTTCGACTGCAGTGCGACGCAGCCTGCATGCGCGCCTTCTGCGGTAGTCTCGGCTGCTGTGCGACGCAGCCTGCACGCGCGCCTTCCGCCATACCTTCGTTTCCGCACTGTAGAAATGTCATTTAAGAGCACTTGGCATGCATGTACTCGTAACTGAACCTGCTAATCAATCTTCCAACAGCTGTCTGCCGCCCTTGTGTATCAATGTTCTCCGTCACCACTTAATTTTCTCCATGCACCCCACTCCTCGCCCCCATCGTGCGTGCTCTTAAGAAAGGCATCACCTAAAACGCGCCCCTGAAAAGTGTTGAATTATTATGGGGACAGTTTTCTTGCTTGAGGCGGTTGAGCTCTTGGAGTTATTACTCAAACTGAGCGGCTATGCCACGCACTGTGCGAATACTGCTCCTTGTTAACTAGGCTTCCAGTTTTACTAACATTTGGAAAACTTCATGTTGTGATACTATATGGTCATGGTATATATCGCAACACATGGCTATATGTTGTGGAACATGTGTGATATAGGCGACGAAGGAACTATTTGCACATATCATCTGACAACATATATCGAAAACTATTTCTATATGGAAAACTATCCGTATAGTTTGTTAAACGTTTTAAATTTTGCCGTGATCTTTTCATCATGCCCAGAGACAGGAGTGTTTCGAAAAACGGTAGGTTGGACTGCTCTCTGAACTCAGAAGTGTATGGGTGGAAGGGTGTGTGCTGGGGAGGGGGGAGGGGGGGGGGGCACAGCCGCTACTGGCCGCGCGGCTGCCGCTCCCAGCTCCTGCAGGCGCGCTGCCGACTCTCCGCCACACACCACCCCGGTCCGTTGTGCCGCAGCCGACTGCATCTCGCGCATCGAGGACGGCCTGATGCACCACGACCCGTACCGCAGCGGCGACGTGCCCGGCTACCAGATCACGAACGTGCTGCGTCAGGAGCAGGTGCCGCTGCCCACAGACGTGGTGCACAAGATCATCGAGTGGTGAGCGGCGCACGCCGGCGCTGGGGCCCGGCAGCGTGCGATGGGATGGAGGGAGGGGCTGCAGGCGTAGGTGCGAACTAGCACATTTGGACAGTCGAGTTCGCGTGTAAAGGATGTGAAATAGTGAGCTAACTTTCGGACTAACATGAACATGTCGTGCGCGGCTTTAAGTAGATTCAGAACGCGTGCGCAACGGCGGTGTCGCATTCCATTTCACTGCGCTCAGTTGTGCGCAGCAGACTTTGCGGTTACATCGCGCATGTTGGCTCGTTTGATTGGCGCGATGTTTGTCGGCGCCGTTCTTTGCCACAGCCTGCCGCGTACGCAGAAAGGTACCGTGAATTACTGCGAGTTCCTGAAGCTGCTGAACTGGGAGAAGAATCCGGTTTGGATGCCAGAGAAGACACCGCGGGTGAGTCGAGCAGTCCTGCCGCGCGGTTAGAACTGGGTAACGACCTTGACTAAAGCTCCTGTGGTTCAGTAATATCGCTCCTGTTGTGGTCTGATACGTTGTAAAGTCTAAAACGTCATTTTTAAATGGTTATATTGGATACATTTTCACAGCATCGATAATGCATTGCCGAAAATACAGAAAGCAATGCCAGTGCAGAAGAACATAGACTTCGCAAAAGCAAATCCCACAAAAGCTCCCCGACGGGGAATCGAACCCCGGTCTCCCGCGTGACAGGCGGGGATACTCACCACTATACTATCGAGGAGTGAGGGCATGCCGCCGAATGTACAGATGGAATAAAATGAATTTCCTTGAAGCTTGAAGACCGTTGACTTGGGTTTATGACGGATTCCACATTTCCGTAATATTTACCGTATGACGTGTGCTAGTCACGTGCCGCGATTTCTTTTCGACACCGGTTCTCACGGTGGAGTCAGAACTCACATCACCGAACCGGACTGTGGTCCCGTGTTTGTGCGCCCCGCACCCGTACTGCGACTGCGTCCGTACCCGCCCATGATGGAGCAGGCTGGGAGCAGGCGGCCGGCGTTATTTGCGACAGTCCAGGGGTCGGGCGCCCAGCATATTGGTCCTTGCACCGCGCGATCGAACGTGACGTCGACCCGTGCCGCCACTATCGCTCTGGTACCCGGCCGAGTTTGCCGTCGATGGCTGTCCCCGGCCCAGGCAGGCGGAGGTTAAAGGGAATAGCCCCCCCCCCCCTTTGTCTGCCGTCTCAGCGCAGTCCGTTACGGTGTGTTATGTACAGCTACTGACCGCTGTCGTGCGCTCGACGCAGTTGCGACAGCCCTGGGAGCAGTGGGACTTCCCAAAGCCGGTCAAGTCGGTCAACTACACGTCCCTGCTGAACGAGTTCGCGCCCAAGGAGCAGGCGCCGGGCGGACCGTGCGGCACGCCGTGAGTACAAGGCCGGCCCGGCCCAGCGCATGACCGAGGCGGGGCGATCATGTTCATTGCAACGGCCCAAGGCGTCAGTCGAGGTGTGACAGGGGAGACTCTGCCTTCTGCCGCGGTCGGCGTTCGGAGACGGTTCGTCGCTAGCAATTAGAGTCCATCTGATATGATGTTCCGTCGCTGTTAATAATGTTGTCCTAGTGACAGTTGCGCTGGGAGGCAGACATAGCGTGGCCTGTTCGTAAATAGCACGCCCGCGGCGGTCATGCCGTGACCTGCGGAGGCCGAGGTGATCTGGGCGATCTGGTCGTGATCTGGTCCGGTGACGCCGCGCTGTCGCAGCATGCCGGAGGCCAGCTGCGCACCGCTGACGGGCGCACCGGTGGAGCTGGCCGCCCACCCCACGCCGGACATGATCCAGCGCATCCCGCCGGACCCGCTGCCGCTCTCCTACTGCGACAGCGGCCAGCCGCCGCCGCCGCCGCCCACCGAGCCATGCGAGTGAGGCGCCGCCCCCGTGCCGGCTCCAGTCCCTGTCCCCTTCCCCGCCGGGCGAGCGGGGCGGTCCCAGTGTGGGGCGCTCCGGGTCGGCTCCAGACGGGTAGAATGTGGTGTCCCGTGGAATTTTCAGTGCGATCTAGTGGATTGGGCCCTGTGCCCAATCCCCCTTAATCTCTCCTCTGCACCGCTAGGGCCGGTGGCTCAGGTCCGGTGCTGATGCGTTTTCGTCGTGAGCAAAATCGTGTCGTCGATTAGTGCAGTGAAATGCTTGTGATTGGTGAAGCGACCAATACGACTCACGATCTCAAACGACCTCAATGGTTTATTTACAACGGCGACCAAGCCAAACCCTTCAAAACACGGTAAAACTGCATGACACGTACACCTTACAAACAAATCGCACAGGCAACGGAAACATCCCAGCCAGAAAAGAAGATCTTGCTTGCGGTGAACCTGGCCTGCCGCCCACCTTCTGCAAATGGCTTTTTTACGGTGATCTCCACCCGCCATTATGAGACCGGCCCACAGCTGAGCCATCGGCTGGTCCGCCGGGGGCCCAGCGCCGTGTGGCGCCGGAGAGACCGGCCCACAGCTGGGCCATCGGCTGGTCCGCCGGGGGCCCAGCGCCGTGTGGCGCCGGAGAGGCCGGCCCACACCAGGGCCATCGGCTGGTCCGCCGGGGGCCCAGCGCCGTGTGGCGCCGGAAAGACCGGCCCACAGCTGGGCCATCGGCTGGTCCGCCGGGGGCCCAGCGCCGTGTGGCGCGGGAGCGGACGGGCCGCCGGCTACTCCTCGCCGCCGTGTTCGGGCCAGGGCGCCAGGTAGGAGGTCTGCCGCAGCACGGAGCGCCGCGTGCTGGTGCGCGGCGCGCTCTCAGCCGGTGTCGACGTCAGGTGGCTGTCGGAGCAGGGCGCGCCGCGGCGTCACACGGCGCCGGCCGACGTCAGCGGCCCACTGCACGGGACGCGTGAGCACTCACTCCCCACGGAGACGGTCAGCGGTGTATCGCACCGCCACCTGCTGCCTGGCGCCGACAGATCATCCCCGTAGAACTGTCTTTGAGCTCACTCTCAAAAGCCTACCGTTCGCCGGCGGTGGCGTCGGCGTTGCGCCGAGTCGTCCGTGCGTCACTCAGATGTGCCAGCCAAACCACGGCAGACAGGCCGAATGAACACGTAGACGACGCGCCAGAGGTGAGCGACCCTTCTCACCTTGCTGGCAACCCCGACCGGTGCCGTCAGCGGTCCTGCGGACCGGGCCGGGTCAGCCTCACCTGGTGAGCCGCGGGCTGCCTATATCGCTGCCGAAGTCGAACTGCTCGACCCGCTGCGAGGGCGGCTCCGCCAGACTGACGTCCTGCAGGTGGGCCGCCAGCTGAGCAGAGTCCGACGGCCGCCGGCCGGCCGCGCGCCGCTGCGGCGTCACGCGCACCTCCAGACTGCCGGCACGCCGCGCGCCCGTCAGGCGGCGCGCCGCGGAGCGGCGGCGGCGGCCGGCTCACGGCAGCGGAGCGGCACGCCATCAGGCCACCAATGGGGAGGCTTGTCCAGGGAGAATGGTTAGCGCTCGCGCAGACTCGCGGGGCGCAAAAGGGAAGAGGTCCTACAGCTGCCGCATGGCGCCGACTACTCGCCTCGAAACGCGTAGGGCTATGGGGAATGACTTAAGAGTCCGATAATCGCGGATGAGTGGCATAGCAGCTGCATTGCTACGCATAGCAATGACATTGTCAGGTTTCCGCAGCACCGTACAGGGAGACCATGCTTAATTCACGTTCCCTGCACGTCAGCGTATCTGTGACACGTTTGGCTGGGTATTCGGCTTTGGAACGGGTCTTGAACAAGGGGCTCTAGCCTCGCGCAAGATCACGCTATCCTGCACGATAAACGCCGCCCCCTGGACGGTCACACCTGGTCTTGCGACGCTTGGGCGTGCAGCGTCCGGTGGAGCCGGCCCGGCCGCGGCAGGCCGCCGGCGAACTGTCGGAATAGGCCAGTTGAGGTCACGGCGGGTCAAGGCAAAGGTCTGCTCGAGGCAGCGCGGACCAGAGTTAGTGACCACGAGCCGGTCAGATCAAACCAACACGGGTCACGGCATAGGGCAGCTCAGGTCAGCACGGGTCAGGAGCGGGTCAGTACGGGTCAAGCCATAGGTCAGCACGAGTCCACAAAGAGCAGACCAACACGAGACGCGGCATGGGTCAGTTCAGGTCACAACGGGTCTTGACGGACACAGCCGTAGACGCCTTCCAGCTGCGAGCCGTGTTTGGGTTGCGGACGTACATGCTCCCACATGAGTTGGGGAAAGTGGTTGGGTTTGGGGCGGTCAGGCGACGGTCAGCGGTCAGTGGACCAGGCGTCCAGGTGTATCCAAAATAATGGACGGTTGGTGCGCGCGTTAAAGACAAACAGTTTGTTTCTTGCATTAGCTTGAAATGTCGGTCTACTAACCGGACTACCTGTTAGTCGAGAGAAAATGCCCGACCGGTGTCTGTATTCAAGGTGAAGAAGTGCTCAACAAGCCTACTATATTCCATGATAAGCGATAAAATAGGTTAAGACAAAGTAACTCACTACAGACTACAGGTACTGGCCACGTTGTCCATTGGATGCAAAAAGCATCTAGCATAGATTGAGGAAAATGAGAACGCCTAGACATACGAGGTGCGGACGTGTATGACGTAGAGAAGCGTTATAAAATACTAGCTGCAACTCACCTTCAGTTGGCTCCGCCAAAGCATTTCTAGCGGAAGGGTTGACAAAAAGCATCATAGCAGTAAGCGTGTATTCCGAATACGTCATCGAATACCGACGAGAATGGAAATGCCTGTATGAAAACGCCTATCTCCCGAACCGCTCTCCTACCATCGAAATGAGACGTGCCTCCAAATGTCGACTCGGTACGTTAACCAGTCTGCGCTACAACATGAGACAAGTGACCTTTACAGACATCACCATACAGGCGCCCAGACACTCCACCTCCGTCCAAGGGACCACGACGCCGGCGACGACAGCACATGATCCGCACATTCACACGATGAGGAACCGCCGCCCAGACGACGGCGGAGCGGCCGAGCCGCGGGAGTTCGCGATTTCGCCGCAGCGTGGCGCTGGCGCCGCCGTGAGATCTATGTACAAGCGGGCGGGCGGCGCCGGGCTCCGGCCGCTCCTGCGCGACTACCGGCCGCCGACGGGCCAAGCGCCTAGCGTTACGAGCAGCGCGCGCGCTGCGGGCCGGCGTCTCACCTGCAAGGCGAGCGGTGACTGTCAGCGGGGCAGGGAGGCGCGGCGCGCCGCCCCACTGGCAGACAAGCCGAACTAGCCGACACGCGCCTCGAGTTCTCGCATCTAGAACTTGTGGGCGCTACATGACCAATGCAGTCAATGCGCTTCAAAGCCCAAACCATCATCGTTTCACATCATCTGGCGTGTTCAGCAGAATTTGGCCGCGGGAAAAGATCACCAAATGTCTGCGTCGGTAGGGTGTCACGTGGCGTGACCAAAAATGAAGCTTAAATCAGCTGCCAAACCATTCAGAGATGGTTGAGACGGTTAAGCCATTCAAATGTGCGCCAACCGTAAACCCAGGACGTCTGGCTGGAGCGACTGGCTAGCGGCAAATGTGAGCGGCAGCGCTGCTGCGCCTGCTGAGTGCGGCGTCGGGGCCGGATGGCGGGGGACCAGAGAGCCGGCCGCCGCCTCACTTACTGTTGGAAGTCGGCCTCGGAGCCGCCGTCCTCCTCGTCATCCAGCTCGGCTGGAACAAAGCGGGCGCAAATGGTGAGACAGGCGGCTCGGCAGCAGGGAGGTCCAGGCCGGGTCAGACGGACGGCGAGACAGACGCTCAGGCTCGGGCCGGGTCAAACGGATGTCCAGGCTCGGGCCGGGTCAGGCGGGCGTCCAGGCTCAGGCCGGGTCAGACAGACGTCCAGGCTCGGGTCGGGTCAGACGAATGTCCAGGCTCAGGCCGGGTCAGAGACGTTCAGGCTCGGGCCGGGTCAGACGGATGTCCAGGCTCGGGCCGGATCAGACGGACGTCCAGGCTCGGGCCGGGTCAGACGAATGTCCCGGCTCAGGCCGAGTCAGACGGGCGAAGAGACGAACGTCCAGGCTCGGGTCGGGTCAAACCGATGTTCAGGCTCGGGCCGGGTCAGACGGGCGTCCACGCTCGGGCCGGGTCAGACGGGTGTCAAGGCTCAGGCCGGGTCGGACGGGCAGAGGGACGGACGTCCAGGCTCGGGCCGGGTCAGACGGGTGTTCAGGCTCGGGCCGGGTCAGACGGGCGTCCACGCTCGGGCCGGGTCAGATGGGTGTCAAGGCTCAGGCCGGGTCAGACGGGCGGAGGGACGGACGTCCAGGCTCGAGCCGGGTCAGATGGGTGGAGGGGCGGACGTCCAGGCTCGGGCCGGGTCAGACGGACGTCCACGCTCGGGCCGGGCCAGACGGGTGTCAAGGCTCAGGCCGGGTCAGACGGGCGGAGGGACGGACGTCCAGGCTCGGGCCGGGTCAGACGGGTGTTCAGGCTCGGGCCGGGTCAGACGGGCGTCCACGCTCGGGCCGGGTCAGATGGGTGTCAAGGCTCAGGCCGGGTCAGACGGGCGGAGAGACAGACGCTCGCGCTCGGGTCGGGTCAGACGGGCGTTCAGGCCTGGGTCAGGTCAAACGGGCGGCACGGGAAGCGGAGAGGCGCGGCCAGTCACGTTGGAAGAGCGCCGAGTTCAGGGGTACAGGGCAGGTCAAACGGGCGTTTGGGCCCGGGTCAGGTCAAACGGGCGGCACGGGAAGCGGAGAGGCACGGCCAGTCACGTTGGAAGAGCGCCGAGTTCAGGGGTACGGGGCAGGTCAGACGGGCGTTTAGGCCCGGGTCAGGTCAAACGGGCGGCACGGAAAGCGGAGAGGTGCGGCCAGTCACGTTGGAAGAGCGCCGAGTTCAGGGGTACGGGGCAGGTCAAACGGGCGGCACGGAAAGCGGAGAGGTGCGGCCAGTCACGTTGGAAGAGCGCCGAGTTCAGGGGTACGGGGCAGGTCAGACGGGCGTTCAGGCCGGGCCAGGTCAAACGGGCGGCACGGGAAGCGGAGAGGTGCGGCCAGTCACGTTGGAAGAGTGCCGAGTTCAGGGGTACGGGGCAGGTCAGACGGGCGTTCAGGCCGGGCCAGGTCAAACGGGCGGCACGGGAAGCGGAGAGGTGCGGCCAGTCACGTTGGAAGAGCGCCGAGTGCAGGGGTACGGGACAGGTCAGACGGAAGGAGCGCCCGGTGCGGGGGAGGCGGGGCAGACGGTCACGATAACAGGTGGGCAGCCCGAGGATACCGGACACATGGTACAGCTCGGACAGCCTAGGTACGCGACACCGCGACACGGTATGACGAGTCGCCCCGCGAGCCGCACAGGCACGTGAGATCGGCAACTACAGACCTGTGAAAACTCCCACCAATCTAACGTGAGACTACACACCATACAGACAAATGGAGAATAACAAAACATAAATCAGCCCGCAGCCATCAGGCGATGTAAGCACGCCACTGGTAACCGAAACAGCGTACACACACACGCACACGAAAGCCGACGAAAGAAAGCGTTTCCCTAGGCTGTAAAACAAAGCACCTAAGCTGTAAACAAGGCCTTCATCCTTCGCATTTTACCAAAAGCAAGGCATTGCAAGCTCCGACGGGCCAGGTGAACCCGAGCGGGAACAGCATGCCCGGCAAGTTTTCTGACTGCGCCACATGGACCTTACCCTCACCGGCGGTGCCGACCGGCTCGGCTGCGGCCCTAGCCTCTTCGTCGCTGAGAGGACCAGAGGGCAGCCCCTGGCAGGCCGGCGGGAGCGGGACGGGGGCAGCAGGGGCGGACGGAGCGGGCCCAGGCCAGTCTCGCGCGCACGCCGCCACGCCGACAGACGAACACACAGACGGGCGGTGGGCGGGCGGGCATGCGGTGCACAGGGAGCGAGCGGTGCGCCGGCGCGCTTACCGAAGAAGTGGCTGCCGGGGCGCAGCCGGCCACTCCGGCGCACCGGTGACCGCTCGGCCGGCAGCGGCTCGTCTGCAGACAGAGTCCAGCCGAGACTGTGACCGCGCCACGCCGGCCGGCACCGCGCCCGCCCCACTAGACGCCCATAACCGGGCGCCACGGACCGCCGCAAGCCGCAGCAGCACAGCCGCTACCCATAACCCGTTAACTGTCCCCCGACAAGACAGAGCCTATCAGGCGCAGTCGGACAGTAGACGTCCATAACATGTGGACTGTCGGGCCCGGCATGCCATCAGTCACCTTCTGCGAAACAGCAGGTGTTCATAACCCATCACCGCAGCCAGTTATACCCAACTCACCAGCAGAACAGAAAGCGGTTAGATACAAAACCACCACCACCACCACCACCACCACCAGCCCACTGCAAGCCAATACATTCCGACCACGGACCACCGCGTGTAGGACTCCGAGCAGTGCACACCTATACGCAATCCCCAAACGAGACGAGCGCCCAAAGAGCCTTTTGACAATCCCTGCGCTCAAACACACCACCGAACGTTGTGGGTTCACACCAGCGCTCGGCGTGCCGGCCAGCCGCCGGTGCGGTGCGGTTCCACAGCTCCTCAGCTGCGTGATCACAGCAGACACTGATTCAGATATCACAAAATATGTGCGTGTGCGCTCACGTGCGCGCACACAAACAAACACACAACAGCCTCTTTTGGTGTTCATCTGGGAGGGCAGCGCATCTCGCGTTTGGGCGGCATGCCTGACCGCTGTAGTCCCAACCAACAGACGTCTGCATGTGTGGCCATGTCCCACGTGCGCCTGGCCTCAACACTTCGTTTAAAGCCGTTAATAAAACGCGACGAGCACGGGTGACCCCACCAAATACCATTATGACCAGAAGCGTGTGGGGCACAGCGCTAGCTACAGTTCTGGTGACGTTCATCCATGGAAGCGCATGAAAGTCCAACGGCCTTTGACGACGCGGCTTCAGATACCAACGCAGATATTCCTATATGTATGCGTTTCGAAGATCCCTCGACGTTTAGAGAGCGATCAGGATTGCCCCAACGGCGTTCAAAACAAGCCATCGCCGACGGCGGAGCGGAGCGCGACGCACGAGGCTCACACTCGGCGAACGCCCTCAACTGGAGCCAGACCGCATCCAGCACACGCTCACCAGCCGCAGCTCCGGCGCTCCGCAGCGTCCTGGGTCACCAGTCACACAAGCACTCACGCACACGGGCACACAAAGGTGCCGCCCCTTCGCCACCACGTCCGCCGGCGCTGCGTCAGCCACGTCCGCGGGCCTGGCGTCAGCCTGTGAATCAGCGAGACCCGTTCAGCGTCCGCCGGCGCTGCGTCGGCCACGTCCGCGCGCCTGGCGTCAGCCTGTGGATCGGTGGGACCCGTTCAGCGTTCGCCGACGCTGCGCCGGCCACATCCGCGCGTCTGGCGTCAGTCTGCGAATCAGTGGGACCCGTTCAGCGTCAGCCGGCCGCCGGCGGCGGCCAGCGTCGCTCGGCGTCGCCCTACTCACCGTCGCGGCGCTTGCGCGTGTAGGCGCGCTTGCTGGTGATGATGGGCTGCTCGCTCTCGCCCTGCAGCAGCGAGTTGCGGTACATGAGCAGCGGCTGCCAGTCCTCGCTGCGTGAGGAGGGCATGCCGGCCGCGATCCGGCGGTCCAGGTAGTTCAGGCTGCAGGCGGACCGAGCGCAACGGGCCGTCAGTGAGCGCGCGGCGGCGGCGGCCGCCGCGAGCAGGGGAAGCGCGCCCCGCGGCGGCGTGTGCCACAACCGCACACAAGCGAGAGACGCGTCTCATGTCGTTGCGAAATAATGCGATAAGTGCATGTTTTCGAGGGGTATTGTGACAGCGACACAGGAAACGTGCCCTCCGTTTGACAGCAGACATGCCGTGGGCGTTAAAAAGCACGTCCTAGGATGAACAAGGCGGCAGCTGACGCCGCCTCGGTCGGCGACTCACACGATGCGCTTGTCCTGGCGCAGCAGCTTGTTGGTGAACTCGGCCATGACCTCGAGGAAGGCGATGTTGGGCGGCGGCCCGGTCGGGTCCAGCGGGTTCTCCAGCGGGTCAACGGCGAAGCGAATGCCCTCGCGGTGCAGCGACGTGATGGCCTCGCGGTTCTTCAGCGCGTCCAGCCCGAACGACAGCGCGAACCGCTTGGCCAGCTCCTGAGCAATGACAGCGATCGGTGGCTTCAGCGGCTGACGTCGGGAATGGCCCCGACAGCTGGCGGTACGTCATCGCGGACGGCCAGGCAGCCAGCCGACAGTACTAACGGCGGCGCCAAGCAGCACATCCGTGTCTGGACGGCTTTCTGACCGGCCAACGGCACGAACACTACATATTCGCACCGCAAAACTCCTGACAGCACAACGGATTTCTCTAACCGTCCAGTCCTTTCTCACACAGCACAATTATGCCTGACCGTACCGCACTTCCGGTAGCAGCACTAGCACCACGCGCAGCGTCGGGCCGATGACCGACCTTGAGCGAGATGAACTCGTCGCTGGCGCGGTTGATGCGTGCCTGCGGGTGGCTGGTGAGCGCCAGGAACAGCGTCTGCAGCGACAGCGCCATAGTGCGCGCGCAGTTGACCTTGTTGATCTCGCGTGCCTTGCCCAGTGTCGCCTTGATGATGTCGCCGTAGTTGTTGTAGTACTGCCGGCGGCGGCAGGACGTCAGAACAGCGATGGCCGGGCGCGGCGGCTCAGACCACGCCGATCATTGTCCGTGTCAGGCTCAGATCACGCCGATCACTGTCCGTGCCAGGCTCAGATCACGCCCGTAACTGTCCGTGTCAGGCTCAGATCACGCCGATCACTGTCCGTGCCAGGCTCAGATCACGCCCGTAACTGTCCGTGTCAGGCTCAGATCACGCCGATCACTGTCCGTGCCAGGCTCAGATCACGCCCGTAACTGTCCGTGTCAGGCTCAGATCACGCCGATCACTGTCCGTGCCAGGCTCAGATCACGCCCGTAACTGTCCGTGTCAGGCTCAGATCACGCCGATCACTGTCCGTGCCAGGCTCAGATCACGCCCGTAACTGTCCGTGTCAGGGTTAGATCACGCCGATCACTGTCCGTGCCAGGCTCAGATCACGCCCGTAAATGTCCGTGTCAGGGTCAGATCACGCCGATCACTGTCCGTGTCAGGGTCAGATCATGCCCGTTACTGCCGTGTCAGATCAGATCACGCCGGTTATTGCTATGTCGGGGTCAGATCAGATCACGCCGGTTATTGCTATGTCGGGTTCAGATCACGCCCGTAACAGCCATGTCAGGCTCAGATCACGCCGGTTCCTGCCATGTCAGGGTCAGATCACACCAGTTGCTGCCATGTCAGGGTCGGATCACGCCGGTTATTGCTATGTCGGGGTCAGATCACGCCTGTAACTGCCATGTCGGGGTTAGATCACGCCGGTTATTGCTATGTCGGGGTCAGATCACGCCCGTAACTGTCACGTCAGGCGAAACCATGCGGCAGATTGTTCAACAGTGAATGTTATGGGCCCTAACCACGCAGTAGGATGTCAAACATTACCGATTAATAGAAGAATGCAGTAAAGAGAAAGTAGTCCATGACCTACATCCGAACAGCAAGGCAGCATGCAGCAGCTGCGGCAGCATGACTAGATTAATGGAAATTACCTGTTCGTAGTGCGCCAAGTTCTGAAAATGGCATGCATGCCAGAATAAAAGCGCCCAAAGGCCGCGATTCCACGCTTCAATAGCGAGCGAGCTGTGCCGGACCTTCTGAGCGTCCATATATGGCGGCCACCGGCGCACGCAGCCCCGCCCGGGACCCCGGACCTGCCTGGGACGCCGGACCTACCCGGGACGCCAGACCTACCCGGGAAGTCGGACCTTCCCGGGACGCCAGACCTACCCGGGACGCCAGACCTACCCGGGAAGTCGGACCTACCCGGGACGCCGGACCTGCCTGGGACGCCAGACCTACCCGGGAAGTCGGACCTACCCAGGACGCCGAACATTCCCGGGACGCCGGACCTACCCGGACGTAGTGCTTGAACACGTCAGCGGCCGCCTTGGTGGGCATCACGTTGTACACGATCAGCTTGCAGAAGGAGGCCAGGAAGTTGCGCCTCTTGTGCAGCTCCTCGATCTTCGTGTGGTCGTCCTGCTCCTCTGTGGGGGCCGGCAGCGGGCGTTAGGGTGAGATCAGACTGAATCACCTGCTGGATAGCTGTTGCTTTACCTACACGAACGTGGTAACGCGGCAGTTCACAACACTGGACGTGGCATTTTGCCCTTTAATGTAATGCATAACTTTCCAATAATGCGCCACCTTGCTACAAGATCATGTACCGCTTAGGCGTATGACATCAAACAAAACTAGCGTAACGCAGCGTGGGAGACGGTAGGCACAACAAACTGACGACCGTCCCTGCTCCCTCCACACATCTTGCCGTGGGTCTCCTGTCCCTGATCATGCAGCAAAACGTGCGTGACCACGAGTGCTCTCCCCACCCGTCATCAGGCACACGGGAGAGCCGCGGGCCCCACCGCGGCCGGCGCCGCCATCGACCCCCGCGCCGCCCACCGTCGTCGTCGTCGACGAACACGTAGGTCTGGATGAAGTCGTTGAGCATGCTCTGCATGGTCTTGTCGGGCGCGAAGACGAGCGTCTTGAGCAGCGGATTGGCCGCCAGCTGGCTGGAGAAGATGATGAGCAGGTCGCAGATGGAGATGTACGCCTGCCGGAGACGTCGCCGCCGCACGACGGTCAGAGAAGCGCACAGCACGGTGCCGTACAGACGGCGTGCGAGAGCGCATCGGCGCGCACGCAGGCATCCGATGACGCCCAGGCGTGCCGTGACACCAGAGGATATGTGGCAGTGGCCATAAAATCAGGTCCAGGCTTCGGCGGCAGCTCGATGACGCACGGTCAATGATGTGCTGCAGTGCACAGTGCGCACATTCGTAAATGCCATGGGGGTAATTCCTTCAACAAACCATCCGACCAACGCCCAAAAACTACACACCGCGTCACGTACCACCAGATGACCTGTACAACAACCAGCAGTCCGTCTCACCACCCCCGGCCAGGCCGCCATCCCATCACGTGCGCGAGCGCCGCCCCGCCGAGAGGCCCCACGCTCACCTCCTCCCTGAACTGGCTGACAGGGCTGGCCGACATGAGGTGCTGGGCGGCCTCCATGTAGGCGGCCAGCCGGCGGCGCAGCGCGTCCACGTCCTGCGCGTTCGGGTTGGACGCGTCGGTGGTCTCCTCGGTGTGGTGCAGGTCCCACATGATGCCGAACATGCAGGCCGAGATGCAGTGACGCATCGCCTGCGTCGCGGTCAGGCGCGTCAGAGCAGCTGGGCAGTGGACGGTGGGCAGGCGGGGGCACCGACGAGGGGGGCAACTGAGCTTCCGCAACGATCACGAGACATGCTGACGCACCAGTCGCAAACAGACGCCTGGCATGCGAGGAAAACAAATACCGAGTCACGTCCGAGAGAAGGTACGACAGAAACACTAGCAAACGTGTCGCGGATGTGAAAACCACACATCCGTCGTCCTGAAACCATGAATTGGAATCATAAAGGCAGATGTGTGCAGGCAAACTGTGACAAATTAGACATTTAAATAATCAAACGACAAGCATGGCGTTACCGCGCTCGAGCCCGAGGCCCGGCCCGACGACCAGCCCGGCGGCCGTCCAGCGTACCTCCTCTGGCATACTGCGCGTGCCCTCGCGGGCCTCCTCCACCACACGAAACAGGCCGTCCCAGATCTTCCAGGGGCCGAGGTTGTGGCAGGACGAGAAGACGGCCACCTTCTTCAGGCTGCTGATCAGCGCGAAGATCTCGTCCTCGTTCGGCTCCTCCGACTGCGGCGAACGGTGCGGCGAGGATGGTGAGCGGCGCGGCGCGCATCGTCCGGGCGGAGCACGGCGGCGGCGACGGCACAGAGCGTCGGGGAGGGGCGGAGGGGCGTCCGACACGACACAGAGCGTCAGGGAGGGGCGGAGGGGCGACGGACGGGCACATTCAGGGGCGACGACACCACACGCGGCAACAGAGGTGCGCCACCACCGGCCGGCCGCACGACAGCGCTGCAGTGAGACCCGCACACCGCAAACCACGCGCGCCGTCTCGACGCACAACACTGAACCAGACAACACGGACCTGAATCAACCTCTGCAGGCTTTCGGAGGGTGGGTCGCACTGGGTACGCCCGCCGCCAGCGGAGCCATGCCACCCGCGGCCTGCAGCGACGCCGCACTCACCCCGGCGATGAGTGAGCCGTACTCGTCCATGGCCTCCTTGTACTTGTTGACGATCATGTCGATGATGGTGTCACGCGCCACGTTGCAGCGGCTGTGGATGGCGTTGTTCTCCTGGCAGAGCAGCTCCAGCGTCTTGGCGCACGTGTCCAGCACGTCACGATCCGTGTGCTTGTCGACGATCTCCTGACTCAGCTTCAGCAACCCGTCCAGGTTCTGAGACGGAGGCGGCCGGTCGGCACGGACGCGGACAGCTCGCGCCCGGAACCCAACGCCGTGTACGGCACGGTGCCGGGTAAGCGCGTCGTCCCGGATGTGCCGCGCTCATACCGGAGCCGGCACAAAGTTGGCAGTACGTCACCGTTTACAAGGGCGCTAAAAGCGACGTGGCTCGCATGTCGACGAGTAGCCTGGCCAGCCATAATCTCCATCAATGTTACCGCCCGACACCGCCGCGCATTCCAGTGTGGTGAGTGCCCAGGAAGGGGCACTGGACGGCGCCCCGGCGACGCCAAACACCGCGCTCGGCGCCGATCGACCCCGGTGCGGCGCGAGCGCCGCACATCGCCCCGCATCGCCCACGGACCTTCTCCTGCCGCGAGGTGGTGTAGATCTCCAGGTCGAAGTACTGCGGGATGGTCATCAGGTTGGCCACCTTCTCCGGGTCGGCGATGTACTTGGCCAGCAGGGTGGGCAGCGTGCCGATGAAATGCTCCGTCAGTCGGGCCCGGTCGTCCGACACCTGCTTGGCCTCGCGCGCGGACAGCACCTTGCGGATTGGGCCGCGCCCCACCGGCGGCTCGCCCGTCGCCGACTGCTTGATGGCGCACACCATGATCTCGATGAGCGAGTTCTCCTGTCTGTCGGGCGGCGCAGGCACGCGTCAGCTGACCACAGGCGCCCGACAGCCAGTCACCGGCGCCGTGACTGGTGCCAGAGCACGGCAGCGGTGCGCCCGAGAGCCTGACTAAAGCGCTGCATTGATCGGTCGGCTGGGCTGGACGCGCCACACACATTACGCCGACCGTGTCCACTAACACTGAGACGCGCAGGGAACTGCAGTCCAAATGCCCGATCGAGCTCAAAGAAGCACGGTATCACGCGAGCCGGTTTGGCTGCTGGGAGTCGACTGCTGCGGCCCGGCCCGGTCAGCCCACGTGGCGGCGCGCGCGCGGCCCACCTGTCGTCGAGCGGCTCCTCCATGGCTCCCGGCTCCTCGATCAGCAGGTCAGTCATGCACTCCCAGTCCTTGATCATGCTGTTGGACTCGATCAGGCTGTCCACCAGGTAGGCGCCGTGCTCGTGCAGCTACGGGCGGCGGAGGAGCACCGAGTCAGGCATCAGGCGTCAGACGTCAGACGTCAGACGTCAGACGTCAGACGTCAGACGTCAGGCGTCAGACGTCAGGCATCAGACGTTAGCCGTCAGACGTCAGGCATCAGGCGTCAGACGTCAGGCGTCAGGCGTCAGATGTCAAGCGTCAGGCGACGCCTGACGTCCGACGTTAAAACGGATGTGCCATTACATCACGACGTCAAACCGAAACAGCCGAACAATCCCTGCCACCATCGTTGACCTGGATGACAGTACTCGCTCCACACCGGCGACATCCCATCAAACCTCGCTGGCCGCCTCGGTCTGCCCACCGCGGCACTATCCGCTGTGTCCGTGCCCGCGGCGCTCCTGCCGTCCTCACCTCTGCCCGCGACGCTCCTGCCGTCTTCACCTCCGCCCGCGGCGCCCCTGCCGTCCTCACCTCTGCCCGCGGCGCCCCTGCCGTCCTCACCTCCGCCCGCGGCGCTCCTGCCGTCCTCATCTCGGCCCGCGGCGCCCCTGCCCGCAGCATCCCCAGCCGGCCGCCCGCCTCACCTCTGACTCGATGAAGAACTGGACGAGGTCGCGGATGAGCGGCGTGTTGGGGCGACGCCGCTTGCCCCGCTTGGTGCGCAGGCTGTCGGGCGGCACCTCGTCCGGGATGAAGAGCCGCTCGTTCAGGAACTCGCCGGCCGCCTGCGCCACCGCCCGGTGCGACGAGTACACCAGCTCGTACACGTGCTCGCAGTCCTTGTCCGAGAGGATATCCCGGTGGTACCTGGCGGCGACGGCGCGCTCAGTAATCTGGCGCGACTGTGCGGCCGGCGCGGTGGCCTCCCAAGCCACTGTGGCGGCGGTGCCCGTGGTATACGCAGTGGTTACACGCGCATCAGCGAGTTGGGCTTTTTCACTGCTCACGGCCACTATAGCACTTCTCGGGGCTCCGTCTTCGAAGTGCCGCTGGAACTCACCCAGTCTTCCTTAACGCCCCTCCCCACCAACACAGTGACGTTACGAAGGCTATCTGGGCTGAGGTGAACAGCAAAGTGTTGAAATGCCAGTCGATGGAAGCCAGACGCAATGCTGCACAGCCGTACTGACCGCTGGGACTAGTATCAGCCGCCTCAGTGTCAGCCATGAGCCGGAGGCAAAGCGACCGATGCTCGCCGCCTTAACAACGCCGAGTACGACGGTGCCAGCTCTGGTACACACAGCAGGTCACCCAGCGCCCGCTGGACCGTCGGCCGCTCACTTGAGGATGCTGATCACCAGCCGCACCGCCTGCACGGCCACGTCGAACTCCTTGTCCATGGTCATGGCCACGATGCGGTCCTTGAACTTGGAGGTGAAAAGTTCCAGTTTGCCCTTCAGCTCCTCGGACGAGTACAGCGGCTGCAGGGCCTGCGCGACGGCACACTGGTTAGCTGATGACAAAGCTTATGTGGGGCCAACGCCGGTGATACCACGGGCGACACAACGGGCAGGCGACACTACGGGCGACACTGCGGGCGACATCACGGGCGACACCACGGGCGACACCACCGGCGACACTACAACCGCAGCCAAAAACTTCGTGAATGCAGACAGTTCAAATTCGGGAGATCCACCTATCAGCGACACGAGCGCCGCACAACGCCGCGTCATAGGCGAGTCTTCGAATGACGGCGGCCATAACACCAATACCATACATCTCATCACACAGCACATCGAAACTAGCCGCGTGCTGTGCAGACGGTTCCGACCAAGTGCGAGTTTTCACGCCCAGCGGCGGCTTACGGGCCGCAGTGAAGCGCAGAGTAACCACGGCATGTCAGCGGCCCATTTCGACTCTGGGCCGGCACCGGCCGACATCACACAAAAGTCGGACCAAAAGCCACCGGCAAGCAGCGATTGTGAACGTCTCCTCTATGTGTGCTGACTAGGGTAGCTCGGTCGCAGACTGCGCCTACAGCGGCGCGGCGTCGCCGCCATCAGGCCGGCGCTCACCTACAGACAGCTGGCCGGAGCCCGGCGCTCACCTGCAGACAGCTGGCCGGAGCCCGGCGCTCACCTGCAGACAGCTGGCCGGAGCCCGGCGCTCACCTGCAGACAGCTGGCCGGAGCCCGGCGCTCACCTGCAGACAGCTGACCGGAGCCCGGCGCTCACCTGCAGACAGCTGGCCGGAGCCCGGCGCTCACCTGCAGACAGCTGCCCGGAGCCCGGCGCTCACCTGCAGACAGCTGCCCGGAGCCTGGCGCTCACCTGCAGACAGCTGGCCGGAGCCCGGCGCTCACCTGCAGACAGCTGGCCGGAGCCCAGCGCTCACCTGCAGACAGCTGCCCGGAGCCTGGCGCTCACCTGCAGACACTTAAGGCGGACGTCTCCCACTTTGTCGTGCAGCGTCCAGCCGATGTACTTGAGGTACGAGTCGTCCAGGAAGTTCTGGTGAAACTTCTTCATCCAGATGCCGATCTCCGCCATGCAGATGCTGCGAATCTCCGGCAGCGTGTCCCTGGGGCAAGGCGGGGCGGGAGAAGGGGGAGGGGGGTTAGACGCCGGCTGCTGGACGGCCCGGTGGCGCGGCTAGCCCACCGCCAAACGCACTGTCCATCGCGACCAGTGTGGCTCCTTGGTGAGGTAAATGTGATGGACCTGAGTCAAATGCAATCGACCAGATTGCATGCATGGACGGGCCATGACACAGGCAGCCGTTTTACGCAGCGTCAGGCATGCTGTGTCATGACACATGTCACGGACGTCGAATGTCATTGGCACCACGCTCAGTTGTGATTGCCCGTGGACCGCCGGTCGAACATGCAGGTATCCGCAAGACCTCGCAGCGCTGGTGTGTTCGCCTACCACTGATAGTGCGCGTCTGTTGGTATGATATCCCGTGAGCTCTTTGAAGACCAGGTTTGATATTGTGTTCAGAAAACACTGAAGAGTTAATCATTCCACTCAGCCAGTGGATTACCAGGTGGCACAGATATGCAAAGTGCACAGCACCATATACATAATTACAGTTCGCCCTGTACTTTGTAAACAAGCAACACAGCCCTCCGGCTGCGAGACGGACTCGCGAGACGCAAGAGTGACTCCCATCAGAAACAGCGGCACCCAAATCACGGGCAGCAGTCGGCACAAGATCAGTGTGCCGTCTGGCGTTATCCAGGGGGAATACAGAAAAAGGCGATTTATCCGTTTTCAACAGCTTTCTGACCTCGCCGCCGCGGGCGCATGAATGTCTCTCCTTTTCTCACATAGCTCAGATAATCTCCAAGCTGTGAGCGCGCTTTTCTTGCTGCGCACGTTGCAGGCGGGAGGCCGTTAGTGTCCCCGCACTGGTGGGCCGTAATATTCAGCAGCTGGACGGGGACTACACAACCACACGTCTCGCTACGTCATTGGCACGCCTTCCTCATCATGCTTCAAAAATTTCGCAATCCCATACTGGGGTGGCGGGACCAGACATCCCGGAGACAAACCTGTAGCGATGAACGAACACCGACTTGAACATGAATGTCAGCATGTTCTTGATCTCGTCCATGTTCTCCTCCAGCTCCTGTCGTTTGGACATCAGCGCCTCCAGCCGGTCACTGGCGCGCTTCTCTCGTGACTGGAGGCAAGAGAGCCCTCGTCGTCAGGTAGCCTCACAGCGAGCCCAGGGGCTGGCGTGTCGCCGGTGCCCGACCCGCTGTAATCCCGCATAGCCAGGACTGCCCGTCACAAAGACACAAGCAAAAACAATGGAACTGACCAGAACCGCATCCCATATCCAGACGTTCCGTTCAGTCCAAGCTACCAGTGCTGCGACATTCAACAGCGGACGGTTTCAGCCCACATCTCGGACAGGACCCGCGCTTACACACAGTGGGGCAGCTACACCAGTCAGCAGCGAACTAACACAACGGTGCAGGTACCTACCTCACTGAGGCTGAGCCTACGACTGAGACTGATACTGAGACTGAGACTGGGACTGATACTGAGACTGAGACTGGGACTGATACTGAGACTGAGACTGGGACTGATACTGAGACCGAGACTGATACCGAGACTAGGACGGACACTGAGACTGAGGAGACAGCACACAGCCATACCACGACGGCGCCATACTGCTGACACCCGTATCCACGTCAGCACCACACGTGCGTCCCCAGCCGGCGCGGCCAGCCCGCCGTTGCCCGCCAGCCCACCTTCTGGCGTTCGGCCTCGTACTGCCGCTGCGTGTTCTCCAGGTTGATGGACACGGTGAGCGCCACGTTCACCAGCGCCGTCATCAGCTTCATCGCTGAAACGGGAGCCGACGCCATGAGAGGGGCGTGCTGGCACCGCGGCCCCGGCCCGACCCAGCGAGCCGCACCACCCGGTCACCGACCCGGCGGCAGCTGGAACCGCCGCGACAATGGCAAACCACGGCCGACGGCAATCACGACACGAGATCCCGGCTGTCGACATGACTGCCATGGCCAGGGTCGCTTGCAGGGCAGTGCGGATGGCGGACATCCGACTCAGAGGGCAGGCGGCCCACTGTAGACTGCCGCGATGCCCGCAGATGGACAGGACAGCCCACTGTAGACTGCTGCGATGCCCGCAGATGGACAGGACAGCCCACTGCACACTGCCGCGATGCCCGCAGATGGACAGGACAGCCCACTGTAGACTGCCGCGATGCCCGCAGATGGACAGGACAGCCCACTGCAGACTGCTGCGATGCCCGCAGATGGACAGGACAGCCCACTGTAGACTGCTGCGATGACCGCAGATGGACAGGACAGCCCACTGTAGACTGCTGCGATGCCCGCAGATGGACAGGACAGCCCACTGTAGACTGCTGCGAAGCCCGCAGATGGACAGGACAGCCCACTGCACACTGCCGCGATGCCCGCAGATGGACAGGACAGCCCACTGTAGACTGCCGCGATGCCCGCAGATGGACAGGACAGCCCACTGTAGACTGCTGCGATGCCCGCAGATGGACAGGACAGCCCACTGCACACTGCCGCGATGCCCGCAGATGGACAGGACAGCCCACTGTAGACTGCTGCGATGCCCGCAGATGGACACGACAGCCCACTGTAGACTGCTGCGATGCCCGCAGATGGACAGGACAGCCCACTGTAGACTGCTGCGATGCCCGCAGATGGACAGGACAGCCCACTGCACACTGCTGCGATGCCCGCAGATGGACAGGACAGCCCACTGCACACTGCTGCGATGCCCGCAGATGGACAGGACACCACCGGGCTGGGACAGGGCGTACGGTGGCAACGGTTTTCAAATATGTACCACAAGGTATACACTGGTCACGAAGCCCAACAGATCCCTGACATTCAAGACAGGCGTTGCAGTCCCTGGGTGCAGACAGACGCATATTCGAAAAAAAACAAAATTTTAGCTACGTTTTGCACAAAATTTGCGACGCGAAGACACAACACAATGACACATTTTGGCTCCAATCGCCCATACGTCGGCAGAAATACAGATATAATGAGCAGCACACACTAAGCCAGGTTACAGGCGGGGAAAGAACATTTTGAAAGCAAAGGTTTGTGGCTATTCCCGGACATACACTGCACCATGTCATCGTTCTGTTACATGTCCAACAAATTATCGCAAGGGTGCGGTCAGGTCGCATTAAAGGGTACCATGCATTGTGCTCTGGAAGCTACAGTAGGCATCTATACCGACATCATGCTTTTGCGGACGCTATCGTTGTTGGTCCAATCCACCCTCCCCCCCCCCCCCCCCCCCACCCATTTAACATCACTACATCTGCCAATGACAATGTAGACGAAGGATGCGCCACTGCTATCGTTTCGGGCTGGTAAACATGGTTATACAACCGTCGTACCCTCAACAGTGCCGCAATATAAAACATGTCATATGGCCCGTCATGTATTATTTTCGGAACTATATGTTTGCGCGGCATCAAAATCCTCCGGACAACATTGATAGAAGTGTGAGCTCGCTTCTCTTCTCCATCTCCCTCTCCCTTCTCCCTTCCCCTCCCCTCCCTCTCCTCTTCCCGTCCTCTCCCTCCTCCTCCTCCCCTCTCCCTCCTCCCTCTCCTCTAGCCCTCTCCTCTTCCCTTCGCCCATCTCCCTTCTTCCCCTCTCCCCTCTTCCCCTCTCCCTCTCCCTCTCCTCTCCCTCTTCCCCTCAACCTCTTCTTCCCTCCTATCCCTATCTCCTCTCCCTCTCCCTCTCCCTCTCCCTCTCCCTCTCCCTCTCCCTCTCCCTCTCCCTCTCCCCTCTCCCCCTCTCTCTTCTCTCTCTCTCTCTCTCTCTCTCTCTCTCTCTCTCTCTTCTCCTCTCTCTCTCTCTCTCTCTCTCTCTCTCCGCCAAAGAATGGCGTATTGCGTGTCTCTAAGAGGCCAGCTTTATCCTCCAGCCTGCCACTGTTGCATGCGGCGACGACACAAGAATATATGCATTCTCTCAGATGTATTGCCCTAAACGCTATATGGTTTGTGAGATCAACTCCACTACATAACGCGTCACTTCAATGGATCATACAAACGGCAGTATTACGTTCGTTTCGACCCTATGGGTCCCTCTCCGAACACACCACTTACAAAGTTTTGACAACTTAATCAAACCACAAGTGAACGTACGTCCGGCGATCATTTCATGAAACCAAACATTTGCTTTCATGAGCATCAGCTGGCCGATTTGGGTCCGGTACATTCCGAGATATCCGAAGTACCACATTGCCCCCCGCATGCCATTCAAACCAAATACAAAATAAAAGTTCGATGTCAACTCATTGTCTCCGATCAAATCAAGAACAGCCGTTTTCCGAAGAACCGTAACCAGGGCACACTCTGCAGACTGGCTTGGTCCTAAGCGGACTATAGCATCAAGCAAAAGTTTGTGAACTTTCCAAGACTCTGCTTTGAGCAAGTGGTGATCAACCAGTCAAAAATATGAGCTGTGGTTACACGTCGTAGAACCTCACCGGTGGTAAGCGTTGCCCGCAGCATCAGCGCGTTCTATCCACCGACGAAAATAAGATTATCCGCAGGCCGCATGATATTCAACGTCACACGCGACTTCATCCTTCCAAGAGCCTTACGAAGCGTTGCAAATGGCCACTGGAGGCAGTACTTGTAAATTGTAGTAACTGATGTCTTAGTTTGACAGCAAGATAAGCCGTCGGTAATTTGTGCACCTGGACCTGGGCCACTGCGTAGGAAGAAACAAGCAATCCACTACCACCACGTCCGTTTTGTGCAGTGATGGATGGTTCGCATCAGCTGCTGACAGTTTCGCATGTATCGGGATCGTACTGTACTGAGCGGCAGTACATACCATGGCGAACGAGACAAGGCCGGCGTGCTTTGCCTTAAGACCAACACCAGGCTGCTAAATAAGTATGTGATGCGGAACGCTGACCCCTGTTGGTGGGGCAGGGCACTCTCGCCCGCGCGGCAGACCCAGGTGGTGGGCGTTATTAGTCGTATCCAAGATCAGATGACCCCTACCGTTTTAGAGATAAAGCAGTAAAATATTTTCGTGGAACAGAACAAAAAAAAAGAGAAAAAAGAGGGAAACTGACGCACAATCGCGCTTTAAACAATATGAAGCATGTGAAGTAATGTCGGACCGATACAGTAAACAAGTCTTCAGATCTGCGCAAGGCTTTCAAAGCTCAGCGGTAACCAAGCAACCACTTTTTGTGTATGGTAAAGGTGCGCGACGCATGAATCATCAGGCATTCAAAATTACACGGTTGGCCGTCTTCCAATGTTCGTCGTCGAGAAAAGAAACCCTCGTACGGGCATCCATCCCCCTGCCGGAAGAGTGAACACCTGACTCAAACTGCTCTGAATGTCGCATGCTGACTCCGGAGCGTGTCGCTGCTTGTTCGCTGTTCGTTTGGGACGCCCGTCTTTGACTCAGTGCGCACAGCGCACAGCTGGCGTGCCCGATGGTCTCGCAACAGCCGTCGTCCCAGAGCGATCCCAGATGACGCCCACCCTGCTCACCGTTCGCCATCGAGCCATCGCCAGAGGCAGCCGCCGCCCGATGACCTCGCAGCAGCCGTCCTCCCAGAGCGATCCCAGATGACGCCCGCCCTGCTCACCGTTCGCCATCGAGCCATCGCCAGAGGCAGCCGCCGCCCGATGACCTCGCAGCAGCCGTCCTCCCAGAGCGATCCCAGATGACGCCCACCCTGCTCACCGTTCGCCATCGAGCCGTCGCCAGAGGCAGCCGCCGCCCGATGACCTCGCAGCAGCCGTCCTCCCAGAGCGATCCCAGATGACGCCCGCCCTGCTCACCGTTCGCCATCGAGCCATCGCCAACGGAGACGTCATACATTTGACACTTTCCGCAATTAACCAAATCAGCAACATTTTGGTGCCCCATCTACCCACATAGAAAAGGCGAGCTCACAAGCTGTGTGACAACGTAGCAATACTGCGGGAGCGTGCTCAGGACGAGCCACATCCGGTACTGAAGTCCAGCCCTCGTTCCCCGCTCCAAGCCCGAACACGTCATAAGCGCACGTGCTGACTGCAGTGTCGCGTGTTTCGCGGAAGCCTGAAATCAACAAACAAATCTTCCGGGCAACACGTCGGCGGCGGCCCGGCGCAGCACTGGCTCGGAACGGCCCTACCTCACGGTACGGCCTCACGTGTAGGCCGGTCGCCAGCCGGGCACCCGGCCCGGACGTGCCTCGGCCGGCGCCTCCAGCCGACGGCCGAGGTCGATGGCGCCGCCCGGCAGGACGGTCGGCCGCCGGCGCTCAGTTTGCGCCCGGAGGACCGCGAGGCCGGTGTGGCCATGCAGCTCTCGCACCGCCGGCTGCTGCGGCTGCTCTGCCTGGCCGGCCTGATCAGCTCCGTGCGTCTGAGCGTGGAGCTCGTCGGCAGTGCGCCGCCGTCCGACGACCCGGGCGGCCGCGACCCGCTGCCGAAGCACCTGGCGGCTGCCGCCGACCTCTTCCGGCCGTCCACCGTCGTCGGCGTCACGTGCGCGGCCGATGCCGACCCGTCGTCAGCCGTGCAGCTCGGCCGCCGCCGGCACATCCCGACGCTGGCATTCCGCCTGCCGGACCCTTCGCCGCCCGCCGGGCCGGCCACGGCGCCACTCGCCGACGCGCTAGGCCTCGACGGCGTGCTGCTGCTGCTGCCGAGCGCGTGCCTGGCGTCGCTGGCCGGCGTGGCGGTGCGGCCGGGCCGGCGCGTCGCGATAATCACCGACAACTGCACGGAGGCCCTGGCGGCGCCGCTCCTCCGCCAGAGCTGGCCCGTCTGCGCGCAGCCGGACACCCTGCTGGCCAGCGGCGAGCTGCACGTCACCGTGCGCGACGCTGACGGCAACGCCAGCGTGGCGCGCGCGCCGGCCGCCGCCTGGCCGCACGTGCGGCGCGACGGCCCGTGGCGGCTGCGCGCCGTCTACGGTAACTCGATCCCGTTCTTCGAGTGCAGCGGCGTCGAGGCGGGCCGCTGTCAGCCGCCCGCCGAAGGGCTGGAGGCGCTGGTGATGGCCGAGCTGGCGCGCCGGCTGCCGCTCGACGTGCGCCTCTACCCGAGCCCGGACGGCGAGTGGGGCCGGCCGCGGCCCGACGGCTCGTGGACCGGCATCGTGGGCGAGGTGCTGGCCGGTCGGGCCGACCTGGGCCTGGGCGGCGCCACCGTCACGGCCGGCCGCTGGGACGTCGTCGACTTCTCGGCGCCCACCGAGCTCACCACGTTCCGGTTCGTCAGTCGGCCGGTGGTGAGCAGCACCAACCGCGACCCGTTCCATGTCGTGCCGGCGGCGCTGTGGTTGGCCGTGGCCGGCGTCGTGGCCGCGTTCGTGGCGGCGACGACGGCCATCGCGGCCGGCGAGCGGCGCGGCCGGCCCGGCGGCGCCGCCGGCTGGCTCGAGGACGCCGTGCGCATGCTGCTCTGCCAGTCGGTGGAGCGGCCCGTGGACGGCAGTCGGCTCCGCTGCCTGACCGGCCTCTTCCTCTTCATGGGCATCGTCTTCTACACGGCCTACACCGAGAACCTGGTGGCCTTCCTCTCGCGACCAGCCGCCCAGTGGCGCGCCAACACCCTGCAGGACCTGACCGCGCGCGAGTATAACGTGTCCATCAATCACAGGTCGCAGTCGCTGATGACGTGGGCAGCCGGGCAGCCGCAGTTCCGCCAACTACCCGGCGGCTGGCGGCCGGGTGACGGCGAGGAGGAGGTGCGCCGCATCCTCTCGTCGCCGTTCCCGCGGCTCGCCTTCTTCGCGCCAGAGCCGCTGATTCCGCGCGTGACGCGCCACCTGCTGCTGGCGACCGGCGGCCGGCTGGGCCGCGGCCTGCACGTCAGCCGCCAGAGCTTCCTCGTCTCGCCGACGGGGCTGGTCCTCCGGCGCGACAGCGCGCTCCGCGTGCCGCTCGACACGGTCGTTGGCCGGCTCTGGTCAGCCGGCCTGCTGCAGAAGTGGTACCACGACTGCATGGAGCGCGTGGACCGGCCGGCGCGGCTGGTGCGCATCGCCTTCTGCCGGCGCGCGCCCGGCGTCTGTCCGTCGGACGCGCGCCTGCCGCAGCCGCTCACACTGGCACACCTGCGGCGCGTGTTCGTGCTGCTCGCTGCCGGCCTGGGCGCCGGCTGCCTCCTCCTGCTGGCCGAGCTGGCGGCGGCCCGGTGCCGGCGGCGCCGCGCCACGCGCCCCGCCGTCTAGACCGCCCGCCGAGTGTGACGGGACGCCAGCGTCGAGCGCCCCCGAGCGCCGCCCCAGTCAGCCGGCGCTCACCCGAGTCACGCGCCCCGCCGTCTAGACCGCCCGCCGGGTGCGACGGGACGCCAGCGTCGAGCGCCCCCGAGCGCCGCCCCAGTCAGCCGGCGGCCACCCGAGTCACGCGCCCCGCCGTCTAGACCGCCCGCCGAGTGTGACGGGACGCCAGCGTCGAGCGCCCCCGAGCGCCGCCCCAGTCAGCCGGCGCTCACCCGAGCCACGCGCCCCGCCGTCTAGACCGCCCGCCGAGTGTGACGAGACGCCAGCGTCGAGCGCCCCCGAGCGCCGCCCCAGTCAGCCGGCGCTCACCCGAGCCACGAGACCCGGCACCACCCCGTCCAAAGAACGGCAAGCGTTCGCACAGCGGGTGACAGCGGGACAGCGCCGCCGAACGCTCCCCGGCTGCCGCACTGCGCCGCAGCCCTCCGGTACAAATGGCAAGGGGCGGGCTGCTCCAGCAGCGGTCATCCGCGACCATAGGTTATCTTTCCCCCGCCCCACGCCCCAGCGGCGTGACTGCGCAGTCTCGTGACAAGACCGAGTTCCGACAGCCGACACGGACCGCGTTCCGACAGCCGACAGGAGGCCCTTTCGGATCGCTATCGCCGTTATCACCGCTCTGCCCCAATGCCAGCCCTTGCAGAGGACCGAAAGTCCGCCTTGGCCGACTTCTCACCGTGACCCTTGACCCTAGCACCGCCAGCCGCGCACAAGTGGCGAGGTGGAAACAAATGAGGCGGCGGGCAGGGCAAAGAGTAAAGTGTGTTCTTGCGCACGGGGCAGCGTGACATCAAAATACTTGCCACTGGATGTTAGACGGATTATTCCACTGAGCACGCGGGCAAATAATACATGCAACGCCACGGAAGTGGATGTCGTAGTGCAGCAGCAGCACGGATCCATGCGTTTCTTGTTTGTTGTGCCCCATGATCACTCTCAGGCTGACAGCTGGCCATTACGGGGACAATCAAACATTCAGCACAGGTGTTTGGACCAGCCCCGGGGCTGGGGCGCGGCTAACGATCTGGCCTGCCCGTGCGCTTTCTTCGCACTCTTTGAGGACGGGCAGAACGTCCGGACGAAGGAACGGTGCAGTCCTTACATGTGTCTGCGCGTCTGCATATTTGACTTGAGAGGTGTGCCATGGAGCACCCGGTATCGGATAAGGATCGGTTCTGAACACACAATGCGCCGATTTCAATAGACTGCCAGGTAAACGACGCACGAATGGTCATACGGAAGTAAAGAAGGCACTAGTTAGTCATCGGAAACCACCACCTCCTCGCAGAAGTGTGCACTGTAACGTGTATGGTGTTCCCCAATGGTTCCACAGTTCCACAGCTCTTATACATCTGATGCTTAGAAGAAGTGTGAAGCACCCTTGCGTCTGCCGTAAGCCGGCACTGTAGCACCAGCTTCATGTGAGCATATTACGAAGGGTCTCAGACGCACTGCGAGCTGCCAGTGGCGTCTGACGTGCGTAAATTGATGGACAAAACACATTTTGGGCACCGGGGGTCGACAGCAGCAAGGAATCTTTACGATGTTAGCGAGACCATCGCATCGCGACCCTGTCGCTGCCATTGGTCTACCATGTGACAGTGAGTCGGAACTGTGTCGGAACGGTTCCGTTCAGGTGTCGGAACCGACCTGCCAGCGTGGCCGTGTGTCGGAACTGACCTGTCAGTGTGGTCGCGTGTCGGAACTGACCCGGCAGTGTTGCCGTGTGTCGGAACCAGTCCGTTCGGGTGTCGGAACTGACCTGCCAGTGCGGCCGTGTCGGGACTGACCCGCCAGTGTGGCCGCGTGTCGGAACTGACCTGCCAGTGTGGCCGTGTGTCGGAACGCTCGCACCTGCGAGTCGGTCAGTCCAGTGAGGAAGGAGATGACGTTGTCCATCAGGTGCTGGTCGTAGATGATGCTGTACTGGCATTGCTTCACCAGAGTCGACACGAAGTCGCAGAAGTTGGAGCGGAACTTCTTCCACTGCTGCCCGGTTTGAATGAGCGGGTACTCTCCCGATTCCTGTCCGGACAGAGCAGTCGCCGGTCGGGTACCGAGCCAGACAGAGCAGTCGTTGGTCGAGTACCGGGCCACACGGAGCAGTCGTCGGTCGGGTGCCGAGCCAGACAGAGCAGTCGTTGGTCGGGTACCGGGCCAGACGGAGCAGTCATCGGTCGGGTACCGGGCCAGACAGAGCAGTCGTCGGTCGCGAACCGGGCCAGACTGAGCAGTCATCGGTCGGGTACCGGGCCAGACTGAGCAGTCATCGGTCGGGAACCGAGTCAGTTCGCCGCTAACGCCACTTTGTTACACTCTGACAAACGGGCCAGGCGTAACGATTGTCTGACGTTCCGGTGTCACGGGAAATAACCCACAAATTATGGGGCAAAATGAGCTGCACAACACCTACCCAAAGGTAAGCGCATTCAATGTGATGCCCACAGAACCGGGACCGTTGCGTCTCGCCCTACCAATAGGGTCGCAGACTCCACCACACGCCCCCGAGGTTTTGTCCAGAATATAATAACGGTTTTGAGTACGGGGCCGCATTCAAAGGGGGTGCCCAGCCTTTGTGGCACATTTTAAACGTACGCCGTGCTGAAATTCGTGACCAGTTACGTCAGACGGAAGAACTGGGAGGTGTCTCTCAAAATAGCAGCATCTCAAAATAACATGATATTTATTTTTCTCATTCTCACGTCCAAATCACACCATCAAAGGTTCGTCACAGCTCTTCACTTTTGCTTTCATTTACAGCCCTTGAGTACAGCCCTGGTCCGCCACAACTAACAACGGCAGTTTCAACTGAAGGCCGTCGTCAGCGAATATAGACAAGAGGTATCCTTTTTTAGCTGTTTTAACCCACATATAGCGGGCCTGCGGACTTAAAAGCGGCACCTCTACCGGCATGAATGAGCGTCAATACAGGTGAACGTTGGTGATGGGTACAGCGGGTGGCGAACGCCATTCACCGAGGTGAGGAGGGAGTGCCATGAGATCCCCCCCTCGGAGCGGCCACTTCAAATCGACATTCTGAGCAGTTCGGAATTTCGGGAAAACTTGTGTTACAGATCCGATCGGAGGCATCTCATGAACGATTAGTGAGAAGTATAAAAGTGGCTTAAAGACATCTGAGATTACACAATTTTCTTATTGTTTGAAAATTTCAAGTTTCTCAACTTAACGGTTCATGACCTGTGACCACTTTTTCTAAATTGTGTCGACGAAATCCAGTTCAGAAGTGATCAGTAAAGTGTGCTTCGCACTGAAATGCACTCAACGAGGGTTCCCCGACATGTCAAATCACAGGTCTTACCTGTCGACATCAAGCAGTTCTTTACTTGGCTTTTCAAGAACTATTCAATGCGGGTTTAGGCACTGTCGTAGTATTATTACCTCTTGAGGTAATGGGAGGGGTTTATAAAGCGCCAAATGAAGCACTACAAGGCTGGTGTGACCTGTCAGAGGTCGCATTTGTCACTTCCGTCACACCTGAGACAATTTGACGAGAGCTTTCCGCTGGTTCCCGAACAGCTCTCCAATGCCGCTTTGGTCGCTCTAGATTGCTCAGGTTTTGCCCGGAGGGAGGGGTGACTCCGGCGCCTCCTCTGTTCGGCCGAAGGTGACAGCACGCCGTTGAGGCGCGGGTTAAAAAGAAAATGAACTTCGGACTCATGTGCGGAAACGGCCCTCATCCGTTACCTCATCGAACTCTTCGGTCATTTTCCTGATGATGGCGACGTCCTCCATGGTCTGCTGCATCTTGGAGGTGATGATGCCCTTGCAGCCGGAGGCAGTGATGAAGAACTGATTGAGCGCCAACAGCGCCACGTTCCTGTTGACCTTATACTGCTCGATCCAGTCGTCCACCACCATCTGCAACGCACCCGGGGCGGCGGTCAAACGCGACGCGGCATCACAGCGTGGCGGCCCGACGTGCGATCTCTCGGCGCGCCAACGAACACGGATCGCCAGCTCCGTTTATCACGTTGGAGCGGCGTGATATGTGCGGCAGCCTGCGGCTTCAAGGTGTACCGGTCTCAATGCTAGCACGATCCCAACATAATGCGCACAAATATAATGTCACATATTTGCTGGTCTAGACCTAAAGCCGATCAGGTTCAGGTTCAGGTTCAGATTCAGATACATATTCAGGCCTAGGTCCAGGTCTAGGTCTAGGTCTAGGTCTAGGTCTAGGTCTAGGTCTAGGCCTAGGTTTAGGTCTAGGTCCAGGTCCAGGTGCGGTCCTGGACAGGACCTCACAAGCGGACAGTCTGCCGCAATGCCGACCCCCCCCCCCTTGTCCGAGTCGCGCTCCTGCCTGGCCGGCTCCGTACGGGTCACGCTCCTGCCTGGCCGGCCTCGGCGCCCGTGATCCGCCGCCGCCGTCGCCGCCCGCCCACCGCCTGCCCTCACCTGCAGCAGGGTGCGGCCCTCCTTGACGATCTTGTAGAGGCTGGCCTCCTCGTCGGCGCCGGCGCCGGCCTCAGCGGCGCGCCCGCGGCCGGCGCGGCGCGTCCGCTTGCCCGGCGGCCCGTCGTCCAGCAGCATCGGATCGGCCACCGGCTCGGCTGGCCGCTTGATCACCGCCGCTGCCGCAAAGAGCGCGACACGCGTCAGCCACGGCCGCCCGCGCCGGCGCCGATGCGCCGGCCGGCCGGCGGTCATTCAGACCAAAGGTTTGAAGCCAGCAGCGTTCCACCTCGGCGCGACTCGTTCATCGGCACAAGCGTCGTCACCGCACGAGCGATGCTCGTGCGGTGACAACGCCGTCTGTGCCAACACCGTACCCGGCCGCGCCTGGCACGCCGCGGCGACGGTCGTGGGCCGCACCTGCAGCACGACGCCCACGCCTGTGCCGGCGCCCTCTCGCTCGGCGACAGCGATGGTTGGATCTGCCTAGCGTCGCAGTGAACTCGCATGTTCCCGGCCCCTCCTAGCCACAATGGTCTGCTCACCAGGACTGTGCTCGGCGCGTACCAGATCTCGCGTAAGCCAAACTTTGCACTCGATCCTTCGCGAGCCGAAGGGCAAAGAAGGCGAAAGGAGGCCACGACGACCGAGATGCATGGTTCCAACAACGATTGAGTTGACTGTTTCCCTTTGCTCTTCTTTAATAAGCATCACGTCCAGGGTCCGTGCAGGCGCTCTAAGCGCTCCTCCAACCGGCCCACGCACTGGTAAATATGAAATGACGGCAACAGAGACTCGCGTTTAAAGTGCAGCGCTCGCGAGCACACGTCCGCTGCTCCTGCCGCGTACTCACATCTGCCCCGGCCTCTCCTGGTCATGGCGATGGTGATGGGCGGGATCGGCTCATACTGCTGCGGCGGGGCCTCTGGAGACAGCATCTGTTGTGGCGGCTCCTCCGGCTGTTGCTGCTGCTGCTGCTGCTGTTGCTGCTGTTGCTGCTGTTGCTGCTGCTGCTGTTGTTGTTGTTGCTGCTGCTGCTGCTGCTGCTGCTGCTGCTGCTGCTGCTGCTGCTGCTGCTGCTGTTGCTGCTGCTGTTGTTGTTGCTGCTGTTGCTGTTGCTGTTGCTGTTGCTGTTGTTGTTGCTGTTGCTGCTGCTGTTGCTGCTGCTGGTGCTGCTGTTGCTGCTGCTGATGTTGCTGATGTTGCTGCTGCTGCTGGTGTTGTTGTTGTTGCTGCTGCTGATGCTGCTGCTGCTGATGCTGCTGCTGCTGTTCCAATTCCACTGCGTACATTTGTTGTTGCTGCAAGGGTGGCGCCAGTTTAAAACAAAGCGACAACAAATCCAAACATATACATAAGTGAAAAAGAATCCATGTAAATTGGAGGTTTGTGCAGTGAAGGACGGGCAAGGGGCTATCAAAGGTAAGAGTTGGGTGGTGTTACCATAAAAATGAGGCCAAAACTAAGTCAATGAGATTGATTAATGGATCGGAAAGTTGACCTGACGTGATAATTTAATAGGTGATGTCCAACGGTAGAGCATTGGCACCCAAATTAAAAATAGCATTGCTTGTAATATGGGAGGCCTATGGGTCAGGTCAGGTGTGCAAATTTGCATGGAGAGAATCGATAATTCGTAACGGTTTACGGCCTCCGCAAACGCAAACAAAGTTTTGCAAAAACGTAGGTGGCAATGGCCGCAATAAACCGGGCTTGGCGCCAGTGTGATCTGCATGGCCCGATCTCCCTCGACTTGGGCCGGGGTGCCCCGTATTCGAGTTGTTGATTACCGGCGAGCCTGCCGGATGGACGGTTTTACAATCCGTCACTGAACTGCAGCCCGTACAGCCGTCTACATCATGCAGTTGATGCACGCGTCCATGTACGCTTTTTGCTGAGATCCGACATCAATTCTGAATGTCTCTATACGGACGGTCCATCATGCGCGCGCGACAACACAGGATCGGCACTTTTGTTCGTGACGCTGATCCGCTCTCCCCTCGGTCAGCGGACGCTGGTGCCGTGACGCCAAGCCGGGCCGCCGAGACCGGCACGAGGGCTCGATCCGTGTTACTCGGCTTTTTGCGTTTAGGAACACTACGTTTTCCGTGCCAATCAATTTTGACAGGTGAAATCGGAGTGATATTTCAATGCTGCACGAAAAGCCCGGCTGACCAAACAGCTTGCAAACAGGCAAAAAAGTTGCATAGCGCACCTGTGAAACATTGTGATTGCTGCTGGTGAAAACCGCACAACTTTGCGACCAGTGGTTGCTACAAATAATTAGCTTTTAGAAAGTCCGACGGTCCAGTCGTTCCGCGTCCGAAACGTCCTCATAGTTTCCTAACTAACTAACCCAATCCACGGTCCCGTCCGTAAAAAGCCGAGGCAATACAAAAGGCAGAGCAGTCCTCACAACTTGCTTTCGCATGTTCAGCAGAACCTAACCGCACACAGCCACAACAAACTAAAACGGAAAACCAAAATCCCAGTGTTTGCCGCCGCCCCGCAAAGGCTGCAATCACTCACGGCACTCCGTGCCATCGCTTCCACCCAGTACGGCAGCGGCTAGTGCAGCGAGTACGGACCCCACCGTCTTTCACCGGTCTCTCCAGCCGCACCTGCACGGCCGCCTGCTGCTGCAGCTGCTGCTGGTGCAACAGCTGCAGCTGCTCCTGCTGCTGATGCTGGTAGTGGTGCTGCGCGTCGTAGGCGGCCGCCGCCGCCTCGTACCCCTGCTGCTGGTAGTGCGGTGTGTAGTCCACACCCTGGTACTGCGGCCTGCCGGAAAACACAGCACTCAGAGTCGTGCACATACTTCCCAGAGGCACGCTGTCAGGTGGGCGCGACGCAGACCTCGAGGAATACGGCGACAAACAGCAGGATCGCCCGATCACTGCGACGCCAAAACGCGCACGCAACCATGCCCACTGCCGTTCAGGCTCTCGGCGATGCGCCGCACGATCCTGAAACGCCCGAACAAAACTGCATAGAACTTACAACTGACAGGGCACGTTAGCCGCATTCCAAAAGTGCAGACCGACTCCGCTTTCAGCCGCTTTCTCAGCAGCTGTTCGGCGAATGCAATTCATGCACGCTCGCATGTCAAGCTTGCGCAAGAACTGACGATTATACGAATGCTGGGCCTCCCCCGCTTCACGGCTGCCGGCCAAATAACAAGGTTATTTTTGAAACACCCAAAAGGACTCGAGAGCCTCCGAGTCATTCTTAAGCATATGGCGTGCTCGATCAAACGGCTCACTCCCGAAAACACAGTCTGCGCCGATTTCTAACCGACAACCCAAAACTTTTCACCTGAGTTTTCGAAGATTTCGCTGCCATGCTGAATGTAGCACTGAATCCATCAATAGCGTGGTTACCTGTACCGCTTTGTATCGCAACTTTACACGACGCGACGGCCGACGGCTGTACGCCGAGATCTTTCAGTTTTTGTGAGTAAATTCATGCACAGTAACTATGCATGTCGACCAACAGAAAACATTTCAAACGATATTTTAAGTGCTGCAATGGGTGGCCACTAACGGGAGCGACTATTGACCATAGTGGCATCCATCATCAAGCTACTCTATCATAATCATCAACACAAAGAACACTATTTCCAACTATTAAACCGCTATTTCCATCTGAACGCGTCATCAGAGCTTCGCGTGCCCTCAAACGCTGACAATCGCGACATTGTTCGAATTGAGCGCGGTTTTACGGCGAGCTGGACGCCCAGTCGCAACGCCGTTCGTTACATACAGACAACCAATCAAGAGCGATTGCAACTATTCAGCAGCGCGCCAGCCAGCCTGCCTCGCGTGAAAGGGGAGGGGAAAAATAATAAAGGACGAATAAATCGCGAGGCGCATGGTGTTCGCTTCGTTGAAATTATGAAAGCCAGGCACGGAAGTTTGTCTACTTAGAGCACCATATGGGCGAAGTCGAGGTTGGGGAGCGATCTTTGACGGAGCCATTCCCACTGATCGACGGCGGCCTCCAACAACAGGCGAGGCCAGTCACGCTATGGCGCGATGACGTCAACGGCGGCAGCATAGTAGTCATTCAGGCTTTAGGGCGCTTCCACTGACGGCGGCAGCATGTCCACGGCGCCAGGGCGTCAGCAGCGGTAGCATGTCCACGGCGCCAAGGCATCAGTAGCGGTAGCATGCCCACGGCGCTAGTGCGTCAGCAGCGGTAGCATGTCCATGGCGCCAGGACGTCAGCGGCGGTAGCATGTCTACGGCGCCAGGACGTCAGCAGCAGTAGCATGTCTACGGCGCCAGGACGTCAGCGGCGGCAGCATGTCCATGGCGCCAGGACGTCAGCGGCAGCAGCAAGTCCGTGGCGCCAGGACGTCAGCGGCGGCAGCATGTCCGTGGCGCCAGGACGTCAGTGGCAGCATGTCCACGGCGCCAGGACGTCAGCAGCGGTAGCATGTCCACGGCGCCAGGACATCAGCGGCGGCAGCATGTCCATGGCGCCAGGACGTCAGCGGCAGCAGCATGCCCATGGCGCCAGGACGTCAGCGGCAGCAGCATGCTCACGTCCTGGCACGCAGCTTTCCAGTGCCAACCCTCCCCAAAACAGTCATGTTCTTCCAACCTCGACGGCCACTGGCTCTACGAAACTTCTCTTACGGCCGAAATACAAAGTCACGGCGTATTCGCACGATGTATATTTGATGATGATGGTGATGATTTGGGGTTTTAGGGCGCATCGACTGCTAAAGGTCATGCAGCGCCCATAACTGTCGATTCATGCAGAGCCGTCAATCAGAGAAGTGCATCAATCAGGTCACCCTATAGAGCCATGATGATCGGCCCTAGCATCATGATGAGAAGATTACAGGAAAATCTATAGCGCGAAGGAACTGGAGCACTTTACCAAACCCGACGATGTTCGAAGAATCCCCTAAAAAGTCGCATGGCGTGCGACTCTGGACGTGGCGTCCGAAAAACTGCGCTCTCGTTGCAGTAAGGTGGCGGCAAGCGACTAGTACGTGATGCGCGGTCAGTGGATCAGAGCATCGACCGCAGCATGGTCTGTCGCCAGCCAATAGCAGGTGACGGTGCGTAGCATATGTGTGACCTATGCGTAACCGGCAAAGGGCAACTTCTTCCACCCCATTGTCCCGAAAGCACGACTGCCATAATCCAATGCGGGGTTTCACCGACTGCAGCTTGTTGGCGCTCAGCGAGTTCCAGTAGAACTGCCATCGCTTCTGCATAAACAGCGACACTGCGGGGTACATGTCTTGAGCAGGTAGTGGTGTTATAGGAATTCTAGTCCCTGTCGTAGCGCACTTTGCTGCCGCGTCAGCAAGATCATTTCCGCATATCCCCACGTGACTCGGGATCCAGCATAGAACGACCGTTTTTCCTGCTCGATCCAGTGAGCTAAGACGTGATTCAATGTCCTGAACCAGTGGATTCGACGGGGAGAAGCCGCTAACAGCCAGCAGGCTGCCCAAGGAGTCGGAAAGAATTAAATGCAGATTGTTATCGTCCACTTCAATAAAACAGAGCTTTGCTAATGGCTATAAGCTCGGAAGTGTAGACCGACGCGTGTGAAGGCAGTGTGAATGACCGTGTGGTGGATCCGCACACAAAAGCGCACCCTACACCTGCATCCGTCTTCGAACCATCTGTATAAGTCATCTTGTAACCGTCAAAGGAGGCCATGTGCTCTAAGGCTGCGCCTTTGAGTTCCGTCATGAGGACACGTTGCTTTTGCATATTTGATAGAGAGACATCCACTCTTGGCGATGCTAGCTCCCAAGGAGCAGTCTCCATGGGTTTAGGTCTGATGACACGCCGTAGGTTCAGGCCGCTCGCATCTAAAAGCTCTCTCATTCGTACACAGAAGGGAGAAGTTTTTGGTGACCGTTGACGCAGGAAAAGCCTTCGTAAGCTACGCGAAAACACTGCTTTGTAGGTGGGATGATCTGGGAACTGCGCCAGCTTGCACGTGTAGCGCAGTCCCAGCATCTGCCTTCGCAATGCTAGTGGGGGCTCGTGA